GTGATGATGATGACGATGACGATAATAATGATGGATGATGATGATGATGATGATGATGATGATGATGATGATGTTGATGGTGGTGATGATGATGATGATGATGATGATGGTAATGATCATGATTATGAAGATGATGATGATGATGATGATGATGATGATCATCATGATTATGATGATGATAATGATAATGATGGTGATAATGATGATGATGATGATGATAGTTGTGGTTATCTGTACCTAACGCTACCGATGAAGAGGACAGGATCCTGGGGAATGATGGACATCTTAGATCTCAAATCAAAGAGACCAAGAACTGATATGTCGACATCATCGATCGTTATAGATCCCTTATCAGCCTCCACCAGACGAAACAGGGCAACGCTCAATGACGACTTCCCTGTTAGATATAGGATTAGTAAGATAATACAAAACGGTGTAATTAATCCATGGGACTGTCCAAGGGACTATTACATTATTTACATACATTATGGATTCATGTTTTATCAAAATGGCATCCTCGGATTCGCACCCGGGACCTCGCGGTTATGTGACAACTGTTCTACCACTGGGCCATTACTGCATCGACTTGATTTCGAACCCGCCACGAAGCTGCTGCCCTATCCCCGAGCTACATTTATTGAATCAAATTAATGTGTTTCCAACGCGTGATCTTCCGGGAAGGCGACCGCTAGTTGTTCTTCCCCTGAGCTTTTATTGCATCACCTTAGTGTCGAACCCGTGACCTACCAAGTTACGTATCCACTGTTATACCACTGAGCTATACTCTTAAAGCCCATCTGGGATTAGACCAGGTAGTTATCTCATCAAATCAGCTTTCAATTAACATAAGAAAAAGAGGATCATGGGGGACCAATTAATGGTCACCGATTATGCATTGTTCTTTATATAGAGGGCGCAAGTAGCTATAAGTAGTGCGGTGGAGCTTTAAAGCCGTATCTCACCTGAGCCCGTTCTTCCCACAATGCCAATCTTTTGCCCTGCTTGGATGGTACACCGGACATCTTTAAGAACCAGTGGAAGTTTCTCTCGGTATCTCATGCGGTAATCACTTATTTTTATCTCTCCTTTACTGGGCCAGCCTGATGCAGGTAAGCTGGACGGGATACTCTCGGGTGCCTCCGGTTTCAGAGCCTGTTTAATAGAAGAAGAAAAAACATGAACATCAACCTTTGGCGTATCCAAACCTTAGCCTCAGGAGGGACAAACAATTTGAGCGTTTCGGAGAACAAACTTACAATTATTATTGACTTACAAATTAATGAATCAGCTAAAATGTGGCTGCCTTTTGTATTCTCATGGTGGGGCATCTACCTGCAGGGGCAAATTGGTCTTCTTGCCACCCTTTAAATACGCTCGTGACATCGGAAAAACAACAACAATAATAATAATAATAATAATAATATTAATATAATTCTATGAAGCGCAGAAACTAGGCCGGTATCTTTTACTGTGCTGCAAGAACTTCTGATAATGCTTAAAACTACTACTCGCAGGCAAATGAAAATATAAATGTGCGTTTAGTTTTGATTTGAAAAAATTCACAGTTGGTTATTTTTTAATATCTAACGGTAAATTATTCATTAAAATTATTAAAAAATGCAGGACCTACCTTTATGTATGTCATCATCCTTTCTGCAGAAAACAATCGTGCTTCTGTATCAGCCATCATACTCATTGTGATCTGGAAGATACCCGTCAACTGGAGATAGAGAAAACCACGGCACAGGGTGTCAATCAAAGAGGAAGATGAGAATAGCCAGGCATTTACTTGTCTTAAAAAAGGCACTACAACTTGCATGAGGGAATTCATTAAGTGTTTCACATTCAAGTCTATTGAAAGCATCCGACCATCAGAGCCATCTATACACAGAGTTTGGTCGACTCGGTTCGAGTTCGACACAATAATGGCGACTACTTCTTTGTTGGACAAGCACAAAACAAAAGAATATACGCCACGTTGTGACTCAGTGAAACCAAGTTGGCCAAACTCTGTGTATAGATGGCTCTGCCCACCATATGATTACAGTGCCCTCAGGGAGAACATAATTATTACTGATGAGGCTACCTACCCCGGTTAAATAAGACATATTATGATATTTATTATTTAAAGAAAATAGAAGACATTCTAAAAGGGGACGCGATCTCGGGGCATAGAGCTCCGTTTAGTTGTTCATTTCTTTAGTTATCTATTTATTCTGACAGGGTACTTCAATCACATGTTTATTGAAAGCTCTGTTTCAAGTACAATCAAGACTGTCTAGCCAAGAAGTACAAATTACGAATTTATATCCAGTGCTTCTTGTCCTAAAATCGTTGGTCTCTAAAGAGCATTCATCTTCCTTTCTTTCTTTCTTCCTTTTCATTGAAGATTCGCACAATATTGGGGGAGGGCTTCAGCCCCTAAAGCCCCACCACCCCTCCTGGACATTGATCCTTATTATCATCACCATCGACATTAATAATGTGGAAATTAGGCACATACCTGCATTGCATAAGATATAGCTAGACCAGCGACAGAGGGTGATATCTTCCCATGTCGTAGGACAACCATCAGATTGGTGATGGTGATGACGAGGACAACGAGAAGCTCAAGACGAGCTCCAGCCCATCGAGTAGCCATTCGAAACAACATCAAAGGATATGCGTTCACGTTCAAGAGATCGACGAACCTGAGGACGAAGTAAGGATGTGAAAATAGGGGCATTGAATATTGCCTGAAAGAAGCGAATTCTTCGAAGAACATTTCGCCTCCTTCGGACTACTTACATTCAAACATAGCTCTGGATTGAAGCTCGGTCGTAAGTCAAAGTTTAATAACGTATTTAGACAGAGTAAAAAGTACAAAATAAGGGATGTCATTTAAGAGAAAGACGATCATGTTCGTGAGGCAAGGGTATGAATACCGGCTATCATCATTCTCCTCCTCCTCCTTTCTTTCCTCCTCCTCCTCCATCCTCATCATTATAATCCTCCTCCTCCTCCTCATCATCATCGTCATTCTCCTCCCCATCTTCATCATTATAATCCTCCTCATCATCATCATCACCATTCTATCCCTTCTTCTTCTTCTTCTTCTTCTTCTTCTTCTTCCCCTCCTTCTCCTTTTTTCCTCCCTCATCTCCATCATTATAATCCTCCTCCTCCTCCTCCTCCTCATCATCATCATCCTCATCATTCTCCTCATCATCATCATTCTCTTCCTCCCCCATCTTAATCATTATAATCATCCTCCCCATCGTTATCATCAACATCACCACCAGCATCATTTAGTTTATCAAAAATATATCATCGGGACTCTGCCAAATTTACCTCTTGATAACATCATTGGTCTTATAATAGGCATGAATCGTCTTCAATACCACCACCATCACCACCACCACCATTATCATAAATACATCTGTGTGACTCCACCTTACCTCTTTATAACATCATTTGTCTTATCATAGGCATGGATCGTGGTCAAACCCATCGCGGTCGATCCGATGTGAGAGAACCACGGCGATCGGCTCACGTTTTCCAACTGTTTCATGTCGTTGACGCCTCTTCGGTAGAAGACCATGATGAAATAGAAGATGACGATGATTGGAATAAAAGCGCAGAGGAAGTAGGGAAAGATCACCGTGATGGTGATCAACGACGCGGCAATCGTCAACATATAGTTAATACTCAATTCCATGTTGATCGGGAGCATCACGTCGACTAAGAAAGAAGAAATAAGAAAATATAGATAGTAGTCCATTTTACTCGATCCACCTTACCTCTTTATAAACTCATCGGTCTTATCGTACGCATGGATGGTGGTCAAACCGATCAGCGTCGAACCGGTGTGTGAGAACCACTGCGATCGGCTCACGTTTTCCAACTGTTTCATATCGTTGACCCCTCTTCGATAGAAGATCATGATGAAAATGAAGATGATGATGATAGGAATGAAAGCGCAGAGGAAGTAGGGGAAGATGACAGTGATGGTGATCAATGATGCGGCAATCGTCAACATATAGTTAATGCTCAATTCCATGTTGATCGAGAGCATCACGTCGACTATGAAATAAGAAATAAGAATATATATATATTAATTAATTTATTTATTTATTTATTTATTTATTTCTGATGTTTATACAGGGTGGCACATATCACCAATTTGGTGGTCTTCCATGAGGCCCTGTTTGGTAAGATGAACAAAAATAACAGCATAAAAAACAAAATAGATAACTACACAAGCATATAAACAGGTAAAATACAAATTAATTGGTATCCCCATGACATAACTGATCAAGAAATAAGTGAATGGAATTTTCAAATTAAATATAATTTTTTAATTTTTTTTAATGAAAATAAAATAAAGAATAGATGATAACCACGTATTCAAATGAAGAAGAAAAATTGATTGAAAACGCTAATTTTATAATCTGATGCAGCTTAACGCACGAGATGCCAAAATTGTTATATACATATTTACATTCAATTGCTCAATAACTCTTAATCGCTTTCACTATCTGGTTGTAGCACTGGCGTATCTACGAGGAGGGGGGGGGGGGTACTAAGAGGGGTACGTGCTCCTTGACCCCAAATCGAATGACGGAAAAGAGAGGGCGAATGACAAAAATGAGAGGGGGAAAATAAACACGCACACATAATGGTTGGACCCCTCCTATCCCACTGATCTACTTGTTAATTCAAATTTCAGCCAATTGGTAAAAGTGGTGACCCCAAAGATCAGTCCCCGGCATGGGTTCACGCTACAAAAGACAAAGCAAAGTATAACTTGATTCTCTTTTTGTGATTTTTATTTTTTCAAATATTTGTTTGAAGATGTTTAAATTTGTTCTTTGTCAATATAATAACGTGTCAATTTTTCTTGTTTTTTTAACAATGTCCACTGACTGAAAAGCACTCTATTTAGACTGATTGTGAATTTTTACCGTGAAATACAAAAATACATTACAATACCGTCACCCCCCCCCCTTTTATTGGAACGCTTCATAGAATGTAATGAGATTCCATTTTATTTATTACCCATGCGTTCTTCCCAATCCCTAAATGACCTAATGAGGGATCTTGATGCCCTGGTAGTACCCGTTTCTTTAAAGACCTAAAATAAAAACTTGTTGTATTGCCCTTTGCGATCGACCCAAAAATCTGAAAATTTACGGTCGGCATTTAAAAAAAAAAAAAAAAAAACCGTTTTTTAGATTTTGTTATATATTAATGAATAAGAAATATGTAATTTGTTTTTTTAAATGGGATATAAATGCATAAAATTGAATTATTCCAAAATTCTCACTCGTGCAAACCAATGGAATGATGACATTGAAACACATGTATTAAAGCATTAAAAACTGAGAAATATCAGCCAAAGAGGGCGGGAAAAAACTACTGAAAACTAAAATATCTTTTCCGACCGACCGACCCATGTTTTGGCACCCAAAGGGCAATACAACAAGTTTTTATTTTAGGCCTAATCGGCGAAAACAAAATGGGGCGATTCCAGGGTATCACTTACGCTCATCTAGATCTTTGGAGAACATGTTGAGTACTCTTCCAATAGGTGTAGTATCAAAGAAACTCATTGGACTTCTAATCACTGATCTGAAGAGATTGTTGTGCAAGGTGGATGACGATTTCAGGGTAAACTGAAGAAAAAAGAAGTTGAGGATTGATAATTAGATAGTTTACTTGGTGTTTCCAAAATCTATTGTGTCAACAGAATCTTTAAAATTGGTGTTGGTGTTAATCAAACACAATTTTTGGTTTCAGAAAAATCTCCGAAATATACCGAAATCCTGGAATGTTTGATTTTTTGAAAGTAGATGCGATCTAGTTCATTTTTTCTTTTAACAATATGGCCATCCAATCCGATCCAATCCAGGAATTTATAAAGCGCCAATATCTAGTTGCCTATTCAAAGGCGCCGTTGAGACTGAAAAATTACCAAAAATATCTGTTCATGACTCTAACTGGGAAAGACAAAAAAAATCAGTGACTGTAAGCAATCTAAAATAGGTATGTCTTTAGTTGAGTTCGGGGAGTGGATAATTGGGGGCAAGAGTGAAGGATCAACGTAGTTAAAGATAAAGTTGAGTTCTGGTCATGCGATTGCATTGTGAAAGAAACGGTGTGGAATCGATCAGAAAAGGTTGATCATCTAGCATATAAGTATTGGTATAGTACTGCAAGGTTCTGGAATCATCAAAATGATAATAAATTTGGCCCAGTCTTGGTAAAGTTACAAGCACTGAACAGAGAAATATGTATATGGGACTACACGAACATGTGACATAAAAATCGGGACGGATTTTTATGATGTTACATGCCATATCTAGAATATTAAAGCATTTGAAGAGCCATGCTTTGCAGGCAAAATTTTTGATCTAATGTTCTTCCACATTTGCATAATAACGGTGTTAACGCTCACACATTATTTTCACCTCTTCCCAGAACTCAACCTTCTCTTTAAAAAGAAAAAGTGCGACTGTGTTGTAGAAAGTTTACCTACCTTCATGTAGGTGATACTCTTGAGCGCTGCGACGATGAAGATGAGAACCAGGGAACCACCGTAGACCGTCATGTAAATCCATAGCTGAGGGTCATTCACTAAAGTTGGGGGTTCCTCGTCCAATGTTTCATTATACTATGATAATAATGATAAAAGGAGATGTCGTGGTATAATGGTTCATTCAATTGTTTTGTAATCCAAGGGTAGAGATTACGAATCCCAGCCCGGCTCTGTCGTCTTTTGGTAAGGCGTTAGTACACTTTTGTTACACTCCATCCAGTTGAATATAAGATAAGATAAGATAAGATAAGATTTTATTCGTCTTTCTTTCAAATGACATACAGAGCATAACATTGGATCATAACACATTTACAAAGCAAAATAACAAATTATGATAATGATAAAAAACATAGCTAACTAAAAGAAAGACGAGGAGACCCTGGTAAAAGCAGAGCTTGTAATTATTAGGGTCCCCTCTGAGCCGGATAAAACATGATGAATAGATATTTGTGACTACCTAAGAATACAATAGGGAAAAGGGGGTATAACAAAACAAGAAGTGTACACACACACAACAACAACAACAAAAAGAGAGACTAGACTAGACAAGACGGGAGAAAAGAGAAAATATGAGAAATAATAGAAGAATACAGCACATCGACAAAAGACACAGCACACAACGGGCACAAGACAACAGGGGGAGGGAATAAGAGGTTGACAATCTGAAAATATTCAGTTAGACACATATTAATATCAAGAAGAAAATTTACATTTATAGTAATACATAATATATCTTGGCACCATAATAAATACAAAAATGAACTACTCTATGAGTCACAGTATTTATCGAGAAGATAAACCTTAAGTTTACACTTAAATGAAGAGAGACTAACAGATTGCTTAACGCTAGAGCCTAGAGAGTTCCAAAATTTAGGTCCAGTAAAAACCAAAGTATTAAAAGTTAACTTTGTCCTTACTTGGAGTAAGTGAAACGCAGAGGCATTTCGTGTAGCATGGTCATGAACTTGACTATTTTTCTTAAAAATGCTGACTAGAGCCTGTGGAAGGACACCAGAATCGAAGTTGTACATTAAAGAACCCAGTTGAAGGTGATAAATATCTTGCACCTTTAAAATTCTATGCGAATAAAAAAGCGGATTAGTGTGCGTACGAAAGCTAACGTTACAAATAATTCTTAAGACCCTCTTTTGAATCAAATATAACTTTTCAAGGTTAGTTTTAAGAGAGTTACCCCAAGCAAGAACACCATAATTAAGATAGGGGAGGATTAATGTTGAGTACATTAATAGAAGGATGCCTTTAGGTAAAATTGATTTCAGTTTATGAATTACGCCACTGTTTCTTGACAATGTCTTATAGAGATGATTTACATGAATTTTCCAACTCATTTGCTCATCAATGTGCAAACCAAGGAATTTTGTTGATGATACCCTATCTATCAATACATTATTAAATGATACATCTCCTGGAAGCACTTTGATTGTATTACTAAAAAACATATAATTTGTCTTTTGCAGATTTAAAGACAATTTATTTGCTTGAATCCACAAAGTAACTTTACTTAGTTCGAAATTAACCGTTTCTAACAGAGTTTGTGAATTTTTGTGTGAATAGTACAAGCTGGAATCATCAGCAAATAAAATGAATGACAAAATATCAGATGAGAAATGAAAGTCATTAATATATACAATAAACAAGAGCGGACCAAGGAGAGATCCCTGAGGAACGCCGCATGTGACATTCTGTAACCCTGAATCAAAACCGTTTAAAGAAACAAATTGTTTCCTGTCAGCTAAGTAGCTCTTAAACCAGTCCAGAGCTGTGCCCCTGACACCATAATGCGATAATTTCCCTAGCAAAATTTCATGATCTATAGTATCAAATGCCTTGGAATAATCAAGAAATATACCGATTGTGTGCATCTTTTTGTCTATTGCTTGTGAAATCTTATCTATAAAGTGCAGCAAGGCATGAGAGGTAGTATGTTTCTCTCGGAACCCAAACTGAAAATTTGAGAATATTTTACTTTTGTTGAAAAATTCTAAAGTTCTAACATAAATCACTTTCTCAAGGATCTTTGAGAAGGAGGTTAGAAGTGAAATAGGACGGTAATTTGAAAAAGATTGAGGATCACCCTTTTTAAAAACGGGTACGACTTTTGCAATTTTCATGTTTTCGGGGACTATTCCATTTAACATTGATGAATTAAAAACATGAATAAGGGGTTGAATAATCGCTAAGATAACCTGTTTAATTATGTCATTATTGACACCATCGTAACCAGGACTTTTCCCAGCCTTAAGCGAATTCACAATAGTAAGCAACTCTTCCCTAACTAATGGGAAAAGGAATAAGCTTTTCTTGTTAGATTCTTTCAGGAAATCGTTAAAAGATTTTTGACAGGAAGGGACCGCCCGTGACAGATTAGGACCAATACTGCAAAAATAATCATTGAATTTTTCCACAATAATATTCTTATCTTCCACTAAACGACCATCAATTTCAATATTCTTTACATCAGAATTTTTTTTCTTTGACTTGAACACATTTCTTATCACTTTCCAAGTTCCTTTGATATCGTTTGAAGTTGCTTGAAACTGAGCAAAATAATATGTTTTCTTTGCTGCACGCAAGACTGAAGTAAGGGTGTTTTTATAATCAACATATCGTTTACGTGATGATTCTCTTCCACTAACTTTATAAGAATAATACAACTCATTCTTCTTATTGATAGACTTCAACAAGGAAGCACTGACCCATGGCATGCGTGGAATTTTCTTACGATTTCTAGTATTACATTTGGAAATCGGAACAATTTCATCATAGAGTAGCAAAAACTTATTAAAGAAATTGTTGAATGAAATATTAACATCCTTTTCAAGTAAAACTGCACTCCAGTCAGTTGCCGTTAGTGCTTCTCGAAACTTCTCAATGTTAGTAGGATTGTTTTTACGAATATATTTACATTCATGTTTATGAGCAGTATTACGAAAATTCACTCTAGTGAAGATAGGGAAATGATCTGAAAGATCTGATATTATAATACCTGAAGGTGGAAAAGGTTGCAAATTACAAAATATGTTATCAATAAGGGTAGATGAACTATCAGTTACCCTTGTGGGTTTTGTAATTAATGGCATTAAAGAAAATGACAACATCATATTCAAAAAAGCATTATAATGGTCATTTTCATCACATTGAAGAAGGTTTATATTATAATCTCCCATTAAGAATATTGACTTATTGACAAATAGTGGGTTCAACAATATACTCTGCAATTCATTCACAGTAAGATCTATATTACTCTGGGGAGGTCTGTATATAACTCCAAAGATAACATTCTTTTTGCCTGGAATAAAACACTCTACAAAAATAGACTCCAACTGATCAGTCATCACATTTAAGTCATGCCTTACTTGGAAATCCATACCAACTGGAATGTATAAAGCAACACCACCGCCTCTTTTATCACGTCTGTGATTAGACACCAAACTATATCCAGAAATAGAATATAAATTAACATCACTCTCACTCGAAAACCAAGTCTCCGTGACCCCAATTATTGTAGAGCTATCATTGAGGTTTCTGATAAGAGTATTAAAAGCATCAACATTTTTATGCATACTTCTAACATTTAAATGTAGGACAGTAACATCATTTTCACATTTATTACGAAACCCATCCATAAATTGATTTTCTGAACAGTAATGACAAACAATTGGAGAGGCATGATCAAAATTATCATTAACATTGGGCTCTAGCGTGCTTGCATTATTTTCTAAAATATTACAAGCAACTTCTTCTATATTAACCATCTTGGATTGGAATCACAAAATAAAATATGAAGTCTAAGTGTTGGGAATACAAGTCAAGAAGATTGTCAGAAAACATATTAACACATATATGGGAGATTAATATACTACAAAGATTAAAAGGTAACAAAAACACATTTAAAGCAACAATATAGGAAGGATCCATAATAATTGCAAGAGAGTGAGAAGAAAAAAAAAGAGACCAGAAAAAGAAGTTAAATAAGAAAATACATGAAAACGAGAAAATGTATAAAAATAACATAAGGCAATAAAATGGGCATGTAAAGGCTGCCATAGAAAAACTGCAAGGAAAAATACTGAAAGTATGATAATGAGATGCTGGTGTACTGTTCTGTTGGTTTCAGAGCTTAGCAATGTCTGCATCACAAGTTATAAGTTTTTTGGTAAAGCCGCCGCTTGTGTTCTTAATGCCCGCAAAGATCCTCCCTTCTTGGCTAAAGGATCGCTCTACTTTCGGGCAGTGGCGGACATTGTACAAAAGCTTCTGTCTGGCGGGTGTGAGGTCATCGTTCAGGAAGATGTCAGTGCCTTTCAGCTTGGATCTGGCTCCCATTACCAGACCCCTGATGCGCCGGCTTGAAAACTTTACCAGAAGAGGGCGATGTTTTTTCCTCTGATTGGCATCAGGTGAAGACGTGCCGAGGCGATGACAGCGATCGAAGTCAGCTGGGGTTAGTTTGACTCCAAGCTTCTCTCCAACCTCCATCACGACCACCTCCGGAATCTCCTCTGCAGACTCCTTTACTCCGAGGATTCGGATGTTGTTACACCTTCCCTGCTGCTCTAGCGCATCCAGCTTTATTTCTAAAGCCGAACAAAAAACTGTACAGCTTTCTCCTTCCTTCTTAAGGCGCTTGATTTCATCTTCCTGCGCTTTCACCTTCCCCTCCAAATCCATTACCCGCCCTTCTTGCTCCTCTAACCGAGCAGCGATGCCAGATACAGCCTCCTGGACTGCATCTTTCACCAACTTCTTTAAAAGACTGCTGCTTTCCAACTCAGCGATAACCTGCCGAGCAATGTCTGCTGACTGCTGAATATGGGTACCTGCTAATGCTGTAGGACCAGATTTACTGAAAAGCCACCTTGACTGCCGATTCGCTGACAGTACAATTACATTTCTTGTTCTTATTTGGTCCAACACTCGCAATAGACAAAAATCTAGCAACGCCCTTACTTGAATTAGAATCGCACCTTTGATATTACAATTTGGTTTGCATCATATTGGCATTTAGCTTTGGGCATCGTTTCACGAAACCGTCCTAAGATCAAGTTGACTTTACAGACTTTTACACGTTTCACTACTGACATGGTGGCAGCGGTGGGATATGAACCCATGGCTTTTAGATGACTGCGAACTTTTTCTTAAGACGTTTCGTAAAACGCTGTCCAGCTTTCACGAAACCGTTCAAAGAACAATTTGAAATTACAGACTTTTACACTTTTCACCACTGACATGGTGGCAGCGGGGGGATATGAACCCACGTTTCGTAAAACGCTGCCTAGCTTTCCACCTACCGGTCTATTGCCACTGATTTCAATCCAGTAACTGAGCCACCAGTTGTTGAATGTTAACAGCGCGACAACCAAGATGAACCCCAAGAGGACTATGAAGGCGTTGAAGTATCCACCCATAGCCTGAATATAACCGTGGTAGGTCTTCCATGACAGCGATCCGCCAGAACGTTTTTCGGATGTTGTTAACTGACCTGCATGGACACACAATAATAATAAAAATTGACTGATTGTCATAAAAACACTAACCAACAACAACAACAACAACAACACCAAAACTCAATAAAACTTAAATTAGTTATTTTATGAAAGACAGAAATTTGATAAAATACAGACACTTAAAAAAAAACCTTAAGGAATTTTGATAGCCTGGTCCTTCATCGCCAATCGGAATGTGCCCACAGTACAACAAATATTCCGTTATCCGGAAAAAAAACTTTGAAACTGAAAATTGGGGTCCTACCTTCATCTTGTTCAGCAGGGTCGGTAAACTCGTCTTCACTGGCCGCACTTGGTGAGGTTGACTTCTGTCTGCTCAATTGTCTATATTATCAAACATGAAACAAACAAAGTAGGTGTTACATCAGTAAAAAATTAAATTTCTTGTTTATCTGAAATAAACAGTACATTTGGAATTTTTACAGTGTATTACCAAGATGTGTTTGGTACAAGTACATAATATACAAATGTCATGTTAATGTTGTTATTATTGAAAAAAGGAAAAGAAATATATAACCCCAAGGGAAACAGAAAGAGGGGCCACTAAATAAAGGTGCTGGTGGCCTTTCTAAGCAGGTTCTCTAACAATCATAGAGGAATACAGTATAGATGATCACTATAGACAGGTGGCTTTTATAGAGAGAAGGACGCGGAGACAGATTAGACTGTTAACACGATTGCAAAGACCTTCAAGAAATTAAATCGAGGGCAATTCTGGAACTCTACTGCAGTGCCAATAAAGTTATGTTTGGATTACATAATAAATACAAACCTGCTTTAGTGACCACCTGTCTACAAAGACCACATTTTTTGTTTCCCTTGAAAATGGTTTCTCATTGAAACATGTACTAAAGGAACCTGTCTACAAAGACCGCCTGTCTTCCAAGACCATTTTCAGTGTTTACCTTGGGCGGTCGCTATAGACAGGTTTGACTTTATGTCATTGTATGTTCGCACATTTCAAAGGTGAAAAGACAAGGCGGTTGAAATCGCCTGAGGTTGATTCTCGAAAGTCTCTGCGATCATGTTCTATACCTTTTAAGCTTTGGTGATTGTGGGTCAGTGGGTGTGGTTCCATCTCCTTCTTCGTCGTCTTCAGGTTTCGTGTAATGCGTTGTGATGAGACGAGCATATTCCCCTTCTGACGTCATCAATTCACTGTGAGTTCCCCTCTCTGCGATCCGACCTTCCACCATTACTGCTATCGAGTCACAATCTTGTAAGTACTGCGTAATAAATTTTAAAAAAAAAATAATAAAAAAATAAAAAAAAAATATATATATATATATATATATTATATTCTGTGTGCTGAACGAAAAAAAATTCTTTTTGCAACGCTATTGCTTCCTTCCCATGTCAAGCCTGTATAAACTGATGGTGGAACTTTAAATAAGTTAATTATGTGAAAACGTCATTTTGGCAATAGATATTGGTTATTGGTGGTTATTTTACCTGACTGCTAAGAAAACATAAACGTTTGTAAGTAAGCGACGGCCGACGGTTTTAGGTCCTCTCCGACTGGACCTGGTAATGAGGATTAATACCTTACCAAAGAGCAGTAGCGCATCGACTTGGTTTCAAGACCACTGCTCTACCAACTGAGCTATCGCGCCTCCTTGAGCCATCGCGCCTCCTGGGTATGATATTTAATATTCGGTTACAAGTTTATATACTAGCTGCCACTTTAGCATTGTGGACTGATTTTGCAGGACGCCAAATACTCTTCCCGCCAGCGTTTCCCGCAATTAAGGGACCGTCGGCACCATGAAAGGGGGGGGGGGGGGTAGGGGGCAGTGGTTTGCCTAGGCGGGTGAATACGAATTCCCAGGCCCCGATTGTTGGTATAGTTGAGGGATCGTTACCTATCATTTTCTTTCTCATCGCCTTTTTCCTCTCTCCCTCTCTCTCTGTTCCCTCCGTTTTTGTCATTCGATTGGGACTAGTGCCCCCCTCCGTGGACCATAGCTACGCCACTGAGTGCAATGATGAATGATAACGTAAAAACAATAGATCTCTACCTGAAGCTGGTGAGTGACGAAGAGAATTGTTTTCTTGCTCAAGACACCTTTGATGCACTTGTTGAAGATGTGTTCTCCGACGTGTGAGTCTACCGCACTCAATGGATCATCTAGGAAATACACGTCATTGTCTGCATACACAGCACGGGCAAGACTGACCCTCTGCTTCTGACCACCACTCAAATTGATTCCTCGCTCACCGATCTACAAATTACGAAGGAAAAATTCTTCTCTATCACTTTTTATATTGGCAGCGGTGGGATCTGAACCCATGGTATTCAAAACGACTAGAGACTCTTTCATTACTAACATAGTGGCAACGGTGGGATATAAACCCATGCCATTGAAATGACCTTTGACTCTTTCATTACTGACATGATGGCAGCAGTGGGATCTAAACCCATACAATCAGAATGGCATAAAGAAAACTCTCTTTAATACCACTGATATTTTGAAAGAAGGAAAAAATAGCTAACGAACTATACCATATCCACGCCTAGATTCATTATCTCTAACATATGAAGCCACGAATACTTTTGCCCTAAGTAAAAGCGAAATCAAACAAACAGTTTAAATAAACGATGTCACAGTAAGTAACGCATGCATTAATTCGGTTCATACCTCTGTCTGATCGCCATTGGTTAAGATTTCCAGGTCTTGCTTCAGGCTACAGGCTTCCATGACCATGGTGTAGCGCTCCTCGTCGAACGGTGTTCCAAAGAGGATGTTCTCCCGTACTGTAGCATTGAAGATCCAGGCCTCCTGCGCGACGTAAGCGAATTTTCCCCTGACCTTGCAGGTTCCGTTGACCTTCTCCATCTGGCCCAAGATGGCGTTGATCAGGGATGACTTCCCACTCCCAACCAATCCGCATACACCGACAAGCTTCTCCTAGGTAGTTGGAAGAGCGAATAAGAACACATAGGCAACATGAAAAGGATTCAATCTTCGTTATTACTATTATGATTATTATGATTATCATGATCGTTAATATTATTGTTGATAACATTATCATTATTATTGTTGGTATTATTTTTTATTTTTTGTATTATGATTACCTGACAGGAATAAATTCCTTGAAATGCCAGAGCGCTGTAATGGCAGCTTGGCTAAAGCCGGGGAAATAATTAATGCGCCCCGGAATAGAATTTCTAGATAGACGGCGCAAAAGAAATGCCTATAATTATTATTAATATCATAATTATTATTATTAATATTATCATAATAATTATTGTTATCATTGTTATTATTATTATCATTATTATCATTATTATTAATAATTATCATTTTTGTTGGTGTTATTATTATCATTATTGATGTAGAACTTTTTTACTTGAAAAGGTCTAGCTCTATCCGACAGGGGCAGGATGGGAACTGATGATTATTGACATAACTCTTGATTAATCGGCCTTTGATAAGTCACTTGACCTCTGTTCATCCCTAACATTTTGATTTGTATCGCTTTTATATTTATAGTCTATTCTATTCATTCAAGTTTGCACTTATTATTTTGCTTCTTCCTATTTTGTTTATGATTATATTCAAATTGTGGATGTAAATTGAACTTAGCACATTGTATAAACTCCTCCATCCAAGACACTTGTACACAATTGACCGAAAAAGCCAAAGAGTCCTAAAAGACTGATTTGCGATTCCTGTCTCCGTGATTGGTATTTTGTGAAGCCGGGAAATTTAGAGTTGCTAAACGTCACCCGCAAAAATGTAATGTCTGCATTAGTCTTTCACTAACATTAACATAGTCGGAAAGACTTTTGAAGAAGAAACAAACCTGTCTATCCAACTTCGTCCCCTACGTAATTAGTATTACGTAATCAGTGTAGGCCTAATAACATTTCCTTAAGTTGATTTCTAAAAAGACTTTGCGATCTTATGCAATGAACTTACTTTAGGTAGGTCAAAGTTGATGTCAAACAGAACGGGAACAATCTTGCTTGAGACATTTTCTACAGTCCCCGGCTTAGGCTTAGGTTTTCCGTTGGATGTCGGTTTCTTTACTCCATTAGATTTGGCGGCATCGGTAGACCCATTCTTTATTATCACAACTAAAAGAAAAACATTTATTGAAATAAAAATTATTCTGAAATTACGACCGGATTTTTAAAATCACATCGCTCAAAACTAACACCAACAAAGAACTCTAAAGTGTATTAAATTGGGTTATATTCATTTTCCAGTTTACATTTCTAGTCATTAATTAATAAAAGGAGATATAAATCATTTTTACTCCAACAATATAAATAAAGCCACAGCCACTGAGGGAATCATTTTCCCCCAGGCATACCATGAAATGTGTTAAGTGTTAATGTGCATATTTTGTAAATGTTTGTTTTTTGGGAAACGTTTTATTAAAAAAGGGAACAGTGAAAGATTTTTCATGTAATTTTTTGTTAATACATGAAATTATTTACGAAGGGTCCATTTTTGCTTTAGAAGTGGTTCTATAACAGTTTGTTTGCCAATCAGTGATCCAAGGGGTACAAGGGAGGGGGGGGGGGAGGTATGCCTAATCCGCCAAAAATATTATTTTCAACAATTTTGACACACTTCTCCCAAGTAAAAGAAACCTGGATCCGCCAGTGCCAGCGTAATATCGGTTTATTGGGTTGACGATGTTATCATATTTGTGGCTTATTATATACTTGCATTGTATTATAATTGCAAACCAAAGCATATCCCTGTAATCTAAGAAGTTCCTCAAGCCTGTGGCTAGTGAAACACACCTGTTTTATCTTGTCCATTCCTGTTGATCTCCCCATTCTTGTTCTCATCCTCAGAGCCAGTGGTTTCCATGGTGACGTCCGACTCTTTCTCATCTTCTTTGTTGTAGATAACATCCCATCCGAACTCACCTCCGTTGATTTCAATGGCGTTCTTACTGCTCTCGTCAAGCTTCTCATTCGGTTTCGCGCTCTCCATGATAATGATCGACTGCAATTGAACAGAAGAACAAATAATTGGAGAGGTTATACTTTTGGATATGGATTAGCAATACAATAGGCCTACTTCGAAGTCGTGATTTCGTACACTGTAAAAACATCAACAATAGTTATACACAATTGAATTAGATCTTATGGACTCTATTTTTTTAGGGTATGGTATTGGTAGTTATGACAACATCAACAACCACACCAACATTAATAATAACTATAAAAACAATAATGATACTACTACTTCTACTACTACTACTACTACTACAACTAATACTACTACTGCTATTACTTCTACTACTACTAATAGTACTACTACTACTACTACTAATAATAATAATAATAATAATAATGATAATATTAATAATAATGATAATTGCCCTTTGGTTGGTACAAACCTTTATACGTCTCAATGCCACGGTCGATTCGGCCAGCATACGAACCGCAAAGGGAGTCGGTCCAAACACAGCCCGACACACGTTTAATAGGGCTATCAGTGTGAAGGCCTATATGAAATATATTAAAAAATCAGAGAAACAAATAAAAACGTTAAAAAATTATATAGACTTTTAATTTGTCAGATCTTGAATTTCTTTTAGATATTAGAAATGGACGCGTCTCCATGGAAAAGGGTAAAAATCGTTTACACCCCCCCCCCTCCCGGAAACGTGCATAATCACATTGATCTGCCTGATTGGTCAATACAAAATATGGTCTAAAATGGAAGTTTTTTAATTTAAAAACACAACATTTTTTCTCCCTTTGTTGGTGAGCTTAGTTATAATCAATCAAAGAGCGTCTTAAAATCCATTTTTCCTTCTTATTCAGTGGTGTGAGTGAGGTAGCATTAAAGAATCTCCCTGACCGGTTTCTCAAATGTCGTCGCCCCCCCCCCCCACCCCCTCCCCCAGGGTCATGAAAAGAAATCTCCACCCCTGGCAAACACTTTTGTTTCACTACCAGTGGAGGTGTGTCGTTGTAAAGTGGTTCATTCATTTGACTCTCAATTGAAAGGTTGAGCGTTCGAATCCCAGCCCGACACTACCGTCCTTAATTGGCAAGACATCAATCCATATTTGCCACTCTCAATTCTGGTGTAAATGGATACCTGGCAATGCTAGGATGATAATAGTATTTGCAGGTGGCCGCAGGAAGAGCAATATTATTCAATACCGATGTGGCTACCCTGGGTAGATAAGACCCAATTATTATTACAATTCTTAACCAGTGCAGCAAAGGGATAACAGAGAGAAGAAAAATAGTCAAAAAATATATTGAAGCGATTCTTTTTTGCTCCGGTGGCGACAAAGGCATGACTTCATCAGCTCGAGTTTGCCAAGTAACCCGCTTTTTTAAAACTATCCCGATTGCAAATTAGCCAGTTAATTTGCGTCTTAATCAGCCCGCAGTTGCAATTAGCGGGATAATTGGTCGAGAAATCTTGGTCTTGTTTCCAAAATATCTAATTTGCGCCCATCCCAGCTAGTTTGCGATGAGCGTATCGGTCTGGTGAAGACGCAATGTCCAGTTTCGGGATAATATCCCGAGTCTAAAAATAGCGGATTATTTGGCAAACTCGAGCTGATGAAAACAGACCTTTAAAGAATAGCCTAAAATTGATTATTACCTGAGAGGCAGAGAGCGAGTTGCCCATAGCAACGTGGATGATAATGGAAAGCACGGAAGCAAGACTTGGAATGATGGAAACAATAGAAAGACTGAAACTCTGCAAGATCCCTGCCTTGGCTAAATACGACCTTTCTCGGCTGCGAATACCTGCAAGACACGGAGAAAAAACACAATTTGAAAGAAAAACAAGAAAACGAAAGTAAAATCAATGGGTATACATAATTTTGTGATCCTAACATACAAATGCAATTCAAACTCCAATGTTTCGCATAGTTCAATATTAACAATAATAATAATCTATATGTATATCCCATGACTTGAATACTACCCCACACTCAAGTGTGCACCATCTCCACTCCCTAGGGAGTATCCTTATTCACGCTATTTAATTCACCTTTCTTCCCCATAAATTTCCACCAAAAAAAAATCACCACATAACTATACATCCTATCGCCTTTGAGAATGGTTTCTCCCAGGCGTACATCTTAATGAGTTTGATGAAGATGACAAAAATTTCCATAAAAAAATCCCCGCATAACTATACCTCCAATCGCCTTTGAGAATGGTAACTCCCAGGCGTACATCTTAATGAGTTTGATGAAGGTGAGAAGTTCGTTCATCTTCTGGACCCGGACATCGATCACCTTGATACATTTCATCCTGATCTTAGATATGGTCTTCCCGGCCATGACCTGCAGAATGAAGGAAGTAAATACAAAATAAAAACAAAATAGGTGGAATATTTGTATATGATAATGAAATCACGATCGCAATTATTTTTGAGAATTCAACTTAAGGCAGATTCAATGGCCCTGTACGTAACTTGTTTGCACCTATTGGGACATACAATAGGCTATTAAAAAAAAACCTTCGAGTTGATAAAAGTTGTGATATCGAATTTACAGGTTTACGCCCCCCCCCCGCCCCCTCTCCACCCAAAGAATGAAAAAAAAAATGAAAAGAGAAAGAAAAGAAAAAGTGCGCAGCTGAGGAGTCCTAAATTCGAATCTTCAAGTAAATATTTCCGCATGCGTAGCTATGGAGTGGAGGCGACCGACCCCAATATTGAAATTTTCTGTCTGCAAAAAGGAGATATGCAGAGCTTATCACACTTTTTGTTCTTTAGCCTTTTTTGCATGTAGGACATTTTCAAGCAACTATTAAGCTAAAGGAGGAAATTGACGGCATTGAATGTCACCTTTTGAAATGTGCACGCACACAAAAAAGAATTAAGAACAAAAGTGAAATATATAGTTGCGATTATGTTTTGATTTAAGAAAAGGGTCCTCTCGCCCCCCCTCCCCCCACCCCCTGGATACGCCACTAGTATATTGACGACGATTGATTGGAGGACGTTTCACAAAACTTGTCATCAGTGACAAATGATAGTTTTTGTTATAAGCTACTGAAATCCTTGCTTCTGATTGGTTATAAGCAGATTTGTCATTGAAAAAAGCTTTGTGAAACGGGTACCTGGAGTGGTACGAAGATGATGAACGTAGCAAGAGTCCCGATCAACGCTCCCCAACCTACGATGAACTGCGTGGCGAAGAGGGTTGATATAAGCAGGGCTGCGGATGAGACGAGAAAGTTTCCGATCACGCAGACGTCAAAGAGACGCTGACTGTCGTTTGCGCACACGTTCATAACCTGTCAAGAACAAGATAAACATTAATTTAGAATATGACATTTTAAAATCATCGCGATGTCTTTTTGATACAAGTAATACACAAAGTGAATAATGTGATGTATGGTATTGTAGACGTGAAGATGTCTATTGTAGATTTATTTGACGGTGTATCGGAAATTCTACAGAGCTTCTACCCCGGACAACTACCTTTTCAACATTATCACTATCAAAGTCAACTACCTAGCGAATAATTAGTTATCCGGCATGTCTAGGATAGGCTTCATGATTAGGAGTTAATTTCAATATTAAGTTTAAGGAAAGGGTTAGGATTACTCTCAACCTTATCCCCTACCTATGTACATATGTGAAATAGATATAATGAGCGTTTCGGGACCACAATGTAGGAGGAGCGATAGTGACGTAGCGTAGCCGAGCCCAGTCATTGAGGGGTAATGTTGTCATGGAGGGGAGGGGATGGGGGGGGGGCAGGTCCAGAATTTCGGGGTAGATAGATGCTAAATATAAACTCTCTCCCTTTCATTCTCTCCCTCTTATTCCTTCCCATATTTTCCTCATCCCTTTTCTTTCATAACTGACATGGTGGCAGCGGTGGGATATGAATCCGTGTCATAGAAATGTACGCCACTCTCTTACCTCGCCAACGCTATGTTGCTTGAGGCTCCTGAGGTGTGCCAGCCTGCGGAACGTCACAGTGAGTATACCACTCCGCAGCCGACATGCCGTACGACAACTGAACGACCAGAAGAAGACATCGCCCGATATCCGTATGATCTGGAGGATGAAGATACAGACGACGAGTACGATGCCGTACCAGAGCTCGACCTCCTCCTCTTCAGTGTATATCAGGAGTCTCTGCACAACGACGGCCTGCATGAAAGACACATGAGAATTACCATAAGCGGAATGGGGGAGGGTGCACATTCTGTTCGTGCCCCTTGGAAATCAAGGTATTTTCTCCTACCTCGGAGGTCGATTGCCACATATTCCCAATAGGGGAACATAATGCTCTCTAAAATTTTATTACACTATTTCATTTCATTTTATAGCATTTTGTATTTCTCATGTTACATATACGTTTCAAAATAAAGTATTAGTTGTTTTGTTTGTGTTGAAATAACAATCAATGATACATATTGCAGTGTCTTTCCATTCCACCCCTTACTGTTCCCCTCCCAGTTGGTTCTTGTTTTTTCTTCTTGTCTGGTACCTTCTACTTTTCCTTCCAACAAATCTTTCAAGAGACTCTGATGTCTTTTAATGTGGTCAAAGTATATCACCTTTCTTTCTTCGTCTACATCGGGATATTTTGTTTAGGCCATGTCATATTGTATGTTTTTCTGATAGATTTCATATCTTTTCATGATATTCTGTATTGCCAAACCTTAAATGCACAACAACAAAATTGCATTGTCTTAAATAAAGTGTTCCGACATCGAAATAATTTTGTTTATATCACAATTTTATAATTTCCAATCTCTCGCGTTCGGAGCTACGATTGATTCGGACTTGTTCACAGTCAAACAGAATAACAAGATATTTTACTCTTCTCATGACAACTTTATGATATGACTATTGTTGCTAAGACACCTTATCGTTATAACAGGGATATGCATACATGTATATCCATAGTTGTAAGAAGAATTTTATAGCCGCTGCCATGTTGCTTTACGAAGAACGTAAACCATTATGCTTGGAACTTATCGATATGGTATTGCTTTATAAAGGAAAATGTCATTATTTTGGAAAGTGTTCTTACTGATCGAAATAATATCATTAGGGACTTTTAGATTTGCACGACGAGAACGAGGATTGCTACATGTGATATCCTTTTAAGGTTCCATGACACATGCTCCGCCGACGATTGCTCCGCCGACATTCACTCCGCAAAACGCGACAATTGCTCCGCGACATTTGCTCCGCGACAGTTGCTCCGCCGACAGTTGCTCCGCCGACATTTGCTCCGCCGACATTTGCTCCGCCGACAATTGCTCCGCCGACATTTGCTCCGCCGAAAATTGCTCCGCCGACAATTGCTCTGCCGACATTTGCTCCGCCGACAATTGCTCCGCAAAACGCGACAATTGCTCCGGTGACAAATGCTTTTCGAACGATAGTTGCTCCGCCGACAATTGCTCCGCCGACAATTGTTCCGGTGACATTTGCTCTGCCGACAATTGCTCCGCCGACATTTGTTCCGCCTGAAGCGACACTTGCTCCGGTGACACCGACAATTGCTCCGCCGACATTTGTTCTGCTAAAAAAGTGCCCCGTAAAATACAAAGGCTACTACGACAATAATTGTTGCTCCTCCCCAAAAGTACCCCGCAAAAGACAATGCTCCACAATTAAATTGCTCTCTGATCCAAAAGTGCGGCCTCGTGGAAAACATGAATTCTCCTCTGGCAATTAGTGCAATAAAATATGCTCAGCCGTTTTTTGCTATTCCCCATGATGTTTGATTTAAAAAACATCAAGTTTTAGCACCTTATGCAAGTTCTCCGGCGAAAGATAATTACTCCGCTCAAAATCTGTTTCATTTATTACTCATTAGCGGATCAAAAGCTCAAGGCTTTCTCTCTCTCTCTCTCTCTCTCTCTCTTGCTCTTCCTTTTCCTTTTTACACCCTTTTCTTGTCTTCTTAGCTCTTTTCTTTCCTCTCATGCTATTAGTCTTCTTTCATTTTCATCACTTCTTCTTTTCTTCCCCTCTCGAGTTCTATTTCTCTCGTGAAATTGTAACGTAATGTAGTACATGTAGTACATTCTTGTTTAGAATATCATTTTCAATATTATCCAGTCCGTTTTCTATAGGTTTCTTTCCTTCAGTTAAGTGTATGTAGCTTTACTATATATATATATATATATATATATATATATATATATATATATTAGTGTGTAAAATCTTTTGAGCTAGTGCTATTCGGTGTGGCGTACACATGGCAATCACATGGAAGATAAAATAATGATCATCAGTACTGGGTCAAATATATTAAAGAGAACTGAATTTGAACCCGGGCCATAGGCTACCCCCTCTCGTTCTCTCTCCCTCTCTCTCCCTCTTCGTCGCCTTACTTTTCCCTCTCTTACCTCCCTGCGCATTTGTATGCCTCGATAATACAAAAAATAAACAATAAGATTCTTCCTCTTCCCCTCCTTCTTCCTAGTACATGTAGTAGGAGTAGTAATAGAAGCAGTATCACAATAATAATGACAACAATGATTATTATGGTTGGTGGTGTTACTAATGTTATTTTTGTAATTATTATGTTTGTTATTGTGATTATTATCCTTATCATGATTATTATCGTTAAGATAAGTTATTATTGTAATTATTATAATCATTATTCTTGTTATTATTATGATGAATATGAACATGATGATTTTGATGACAATTAGTATAAGTATATAGTATTATTATAATTGTTATCATATCATTATTATCATCTGTATTATCAGCATAATCTACAATGGCAGTAGTGTAGTATAGTACATGTAGAATTAGGCCTTATAGTAGAGGTATCATTCTGATCATTATTATTCTGATTATCTTTTGCAATACGTCTAGACGATAAACTCATGACAATTGACAATTGTCATGAATCATTGTCTTTAAGTTTACCATTAAATGCATCTGGTTCGAATTTTGCTCAGGTATTTGGTACTGGATGATTTAAATGGTAGAAATTAACTTGTGTCCTATTCATTCTAGTCTTATTCATTTGCATTATGTTTTATTCATTCAAGTTCTAATGTTTCTGACTGTTTTCAAGACAATATCTTTTGTGTCGATCATAGTTCTATGTAGCTTGATATCTCACGGTAATTTTGAGAGAAAAGCAATGCAAGCAATGATTTCTGAATTGTAGCAACTTTCGCGTTCGCCTTTGCTGTTCTTCAATAATATTTGACAAGCAGTATTAATTAATTTTTCAAGGACTCATGATAAATTCGTTTAAAAGTTGATTACCCTCGGTTGATTGTTTTGTTCGGATTATTTGGCGGGGAAAATTGAAGTGAATGTATTATTATTCTTATTTGTTCATCGTCTCTACGATGCTCTTTGAATCAAAAACACCTTTTAGTGTTAGGCTTCCTGAAAGAAATTTCAATTGTTGTTAAGAAATTTTTGGTTGCACTCTGTAGATTATGATGATGTGTTTGATCTTTTTTTCAATACAAGATCAGACACATGATGAAAATCTACTGGCTGCATGCCAATAAGTTCTTGACAACAATAACAAAATGTGAGCTAGTGCTATTCGATGTGGCGTACACATGGCAATCACATGGTAGATAAAATTATGATCATCAGTACTGGGTCAAATAAATTAAAGAGAACTGAATTTGAACCCGGGCCATAGGCTATCCCCTCTCGTTCTCTCTCCCTCTCTCTCTCCCTCTTCGTCGCCTTACTTTTCCCTCTTTTACCTCCCTGTGCATTTGTATGCCTCGATAATACAAAAAAAAATAAACAATAAGATTCTTCCTCTTCCCCTCCTCCCTAGTACATGTAGTAGGAGTAGTATTAGAAGCAGTATCACAATAATAATGACAACAATGATTATTATGGTTGGTGGTGTTACTAATGTTATTTTTGTAATTATCAGGTGGGCTGTATATCGTACAGACCACCTTATAATTTCGTTAGAATTGCCTTTGTTTATTTATTTATTTATTATCAGGTGGGCTGTATATCGTACAGACCACCTTATAATTTCGTTAGAATTACCTTTATTTATTTATCAGGTGGGCTGTATATCGTACAGACCACCTTATAATTTCGTTAGAATTGCCTTTATTTATTTATCAGGTGGGCTGTATCTAATACAGACCACCTTATAATTTTGTTAAAATTGCCTTTATTTATTTATCAGGTGGGCTATATCTAATACAGACCACCTTATAATTTTGTTAAAATTGCCTTTATTATTAGGTAGGCTGTATCTAATACAGACCACCTTATAATTTTGTTAAAATTGCCTTTATTATCAGGTGGGCTGTAAAGCGTACAGAACACCTTATAATTTCGTTAGAATTGCCTTTATTATTTATTTTACTTATTTCAAAACACTTTTTTCTAAGCACGATTACTTGAAAATGGCTCAAATTTGGAACACATAATGTATAGGCATATGTACAAAACACAATAACGTTTTCAACTATGACCTTCACTGATGACGTCATCTAGGCGCCATTTTGTAAATTTTTCTGAAAATCAACTCATGATCATATCTTCATAACAAAAAGCCATTTTTGATTCATATTTATCATGATTAAGGTCAATATTCGTCCAATCAATTTCAGGTCAAAATACGCGCGTGCGCGTACGTCCGCGCGTCAGTGCGCGCGCAAAATATTAAAATGCTCAAAATAGTCTCAAAATAATTTTACATACGTTTTAGGCCATTTTAAGCATTTTATAATAAATCTCGCACACGCGCATGCACGCGTGTTTTCGCGCGTTCTGGCATTTTGCAACAAAGAATCGCTAATTTTTCTTTGTCATCATATTTGGCACATTTTCCCAAGCATTTTGATACCTTGTTAACATATTTCTGACCATTAATAACGGAGTGAGCGTCCGTTTAAGATACACGTCCGTGCGTGCGAGCTCTTGTAATACATAGCATATATGGGCAAAAACATGCCTATACAAAATCCATTGTAGCTCTTTAGGATGTAAGGTGACCCCAAATTTTGTTTCATATTTTGTAGAGTATGAATTGGAAATATGATTTCTTGTCTCATTTGACCCTCAATTAACTCATGACGTCATCATAATGGCCTCCGAACTCAAAATTCCAATTTGCATATTATGACATCAGCATATTTTTGGAAAATTGATTGTATCTCTGTAAATATTGATTGATTTTCTTCCAACTTTCGATATGTTCTAGCTAAGATAATTCACTACAAATGCAATTGACATGATTTTTCATTTCGACAAAGGAATCATGACGTATTTTTGCGATTAAAGGAGGCATGTCAATTTTTCTCTTTTTGCGTGTATTCTCTATGGGACATGACTTTTTCTCAAAACTGGATTCTGCATTCCCGTCTTTCGCGAGCAATATCTCCTTCGTTTTAGCTTCGCTTACGCTGAACTTTGAGTATGTTGTAGCTGATACAATTAGCTATCTCAAATGTGCCCTTTATTTTCTCTCTAATTTTAGTTAGACCAGCCCACCTATACTTGTTCAAAACAAGTATTACAAATCTAGTTATTATTATTATCATCAACATTGTCACCGGAGCAAGTGTCGCTTCAGGCGGAGCAAATGTCGGCGGAGCAACTGTTGGCGGAGCAATTGTCGGCGGAGCAAATGTCACAGGAGCAATTATCGCGTTTTGCGGAGCAATTGTCGGCGGAGCAATTGTCGGCGGAGCAAATGTCGGCGGAGCAACTGTCGTTCGAGGAGCATTTGTCACCGGAGCAATTGTCGCGTTTTGCGGAGCAATTGTCGGCGGAGCAATTGTCGGCAGAGCAAATGTCGGCGGAGCAATTGTCAGCGGAGTAATTGTCGGCGGAGCAAATGTCGGCGGAGCAAATGTCGGCGGAGCATATGTCGGCGGAGCAAATGTCGGCGGAGCAACTGTCGTTCGAGGAGCATTTGTCACCGGAGCAATTGTCGCGTTTTGCGGAGCAATTGTCGGCGGAGCAATTGTCGGCGGAGCAAATGTCGGCGGAGCAATTGTCAGCGGAGTAATTGTCGGCGGAGCAAATGTCGGCGGAGCAAATGTCGGCGGAGCATATGTCGGCGGAGCAAATGTCGGCGGAGCAACTGTCGTTCGAGGAGCATTTGTCACCGGAGCAATTGTCGCGTTTTGCGGAGCAATTGTCGGCGGAGCAATTGTCGGCGGAGCAAATGTCGGCGGAGCAATTGTCGGCGGAGTAATTGTCGGCGGAGCAATTGTCGGCGGAGCAAATGTCGCGGAGCAAATGTCGCGGAGCAAATGTCGCGTTTTGCGGAGTAAATGTCGCGGAGCAATCGTCGGCGGAGCATGTGTCGGGTTACCCCTTTTAAGGCAATGTGGTGTCCTTTTAAGGCACTGCCGGGCACTACCAGTGCCTTCAGTAAAAGGTCGTTACATTGCCTTAAAAGGATGTGGCATGTCGCAGTCCACGTTCTCGTCGTGCAAATCTAAAAGTCCCTATTGTCTTACAAAGACCTTAACAGTCATACTTCAGTCTCTCTATATACTCACCGACGTAATGAATGAAGACATCATTGATATCACCAAGACAGTAGCGGATACGATCTGCCTAGTCCGAACGAACCGAAAGGCTACTTTTCCCATCGATGCTTCCTCCTCGCTCCCTTTCAGAGCAACTTCTTCCGCCCACAGTTTCTCAAATCTAAAAGAAAAAGAGGAATTCTCTTTAACCGAAGCAGAATTTCTCTCTAAATGTAGCAGGACCACTACTCAGAATTTAAACCCGGATGAAATATTCCGGACAACTAGTCCCTGGACTGTTACCCCTAGAAAACCACATTCTAGGACAACTGCCCCATAAACATTGCCCTTTAAAATCTTGACCTAGGACAACTAACCTTTAAACAATTACCAGCTGAAAAACAATTCAATGACAGTTGAACCCTTAGGGCCTTTACCAATGGAAAACTATCTGGACAACTACTCCTAGAACAAATACCTCCTACATTCTCTTCATAGGTTAATTTACCCCCAGGACACTTATCCCCATGTTGTCGTAGGTTTTGTCTTGGAGATACCTATCTAAGGGCGCGTTCATGCTTGATTTTGAAGGCAGAATGAGCGATTTGTAACGCTCATCGTAAACGCTCATCGTAATCGCAGTTCCACGGTGCACTGTTCATGCTCACTTCTCCAGGCAATTCTCCTTGGGTGGCCTTCAGCTGGATTCGCAAACCTGTGTGCGCATGCTACGTAGACCCATTAGAGGTCAGTGCGTTGACCCCATTTAAACGCGTTTACAAATTGTAAACGCATCTTTTTGTGAGTTTACGATCGGCGATCGTGATCGCCGTTTTTCGGTGATTCTACAAAAGTGAGCATGAACGCAATCGTGTTTTAAACTAAACGCGTAACAGATGCCTGATTCTGGCCGTCAAAATCAAGCATGAACGCGCCCTAAGGGAGAAGTGGTCCAGGGTAACTTTACAAGTTATATGTAGTTGTATGAGATGACAGTTCATGGGAGATGTCCTATTATCCTATATACTTTTTTTTAAATTGTAGAATTGTGATTCATGACGGTAAATTTCATTTATTTCTTTATGCACGGAGCATGATTAGATATGAGTTACGTTTATACCTAGCTTTATCTTAGTATGTTCATATCGCCTACTAAGAGCATAAATAACTATCACCATCATCTTCATCATCATCATCATCATTTTTTTTTTCATCTTCATCATCATCATCTTCATGACCTTTTTCATCATCATCATCATCTCCTTCATCATCTTATTCATCATCAATACCATCATCATCAACATCATCATCATCATCATCTCCTTCATCATTAAAACCTAGCATCGACATCATAAACATCATAAGTACCATCACAACTATCAGTTTTCATCATAATTATCATCATCGGGGGGAGGGGGGTTGGAGAGGCACAGCACCCACACTTTTTTCAAGCACCCCAAGATCGAGTGCCCTTTTTCCCCTTCTCTTTTTTTGAATTTTATATTTTACCTGTATTTCTCACTGTCCCTTACAAATTGGGCCCTTATGCGGTCATCCATAAGGCCATAACTAGATTCAAGGAATCGGAGCAGCATAGTGTAGTGACAGGAACACTTTTCTACCACCACAATGAAAGGCTGTGGAGCCGTGGGACAAGGGGGCAAGGGGCACAATGATTCAAATCGTCATCATCACTCTCATCATCATAATTATCACCATCATCATCACCATCATCATCCTCATTATCATAATCATCGCCGTCCTGCCCGCCATCATACCTGTCACCGTTGTAATCGCCTCGTTCATAGTCCGACATCGTCCACAGATCCGAGTACTCTAGGGTTCTCTTATAAGCCTTGAAAAATAAAGACGACATCCAGTTGAGCCAAATGAACGATATAAGACCGCAGTGATCCATCGGCGAATATTCTTCATTTCTAGGCAAAGATGAAAACAATTAAAAAAAAAAATAAGTACATTCAAGTAGGAGGAGAATGAAGGTCCTAGAGAGACATGACAGTTGTCTTGGTAGTCAGGTAATCTTTATTTCAGATTTGTGGAAGACTTTTTTTCGACGTGAAACACTTTTTCAAGCGTTTACTTCGATTCATCGGAAAGCTGAGATCTCAGCTGCAGACTAACTGTTTGTATTAAACCCGATTTGGGACAAACATAATTAATGTCTAAACTCAGCGTCGGATTTAAATCTTAATATAAGAGATGGTAGTCAGTTTCCATGTGCAGTAGGGCACAATTCGCTGACACCAGACTTGGTGGAAATACCATGAATGGGTTCAAGTCCCGCACACAGCAAACCCGTGGTCCCATCAAGAAATACCCCCTAGTCTCTCGGAGATTCCTCGGGTGAGGGAAATGTAAGATAATGACTTTTCCATATGGGACGATCGGTGGCAAATGCAGAGCTTTACATAAAACTGAAGGCTAATCCTGGTGATTGACAACACCTGCTACAGGGGCAAAAGTAAAAAAAAAAAAAAAAAAACGTATGGTGTCGAAACCCCCAAAAGAGCCCACTAACTATGCATCTTTAACAAAAAATAATTCAGAAACTCACGTAGGCTTAAGACGAATAGGTATAAGCAGTTTCATGCTTTCCTTGTATTTAAACCCGTCTTTCTCTTCCTGGTATTTCCTAGGGGTCCTCTCATAAAGGTCGTGGTCATCACCGGGCACGACCATCCCGACGTTGGTCGTCGTCTCTCCCATGGTTGCCAAGGCGACCGCTGTGTTTTGGACTCCATCGTCTGTAGAGATAAATCAGACGCTTATTAATCACAAAGTCTTATTTTGAGAAAATCAACATTAGGAAATTTACTTGGATATAGATTTGCGCATAGCCATATAATACGTACATGATTCCTATAGGCAATAATAATAACAATTAAGGAATATTATAATAATAATCTTTTAAAGTCCACTCCAAATTTTATTAAGTTAATCCGTTAAAAGTTAAAATGGAAATTCTTTTTGCCCATTATTAATCGTGAGCCCGGCAGCCACTGAGCAGCGCCAGATCGACGTTGCTCTATCCCTTATTGTTGAACGCCAAACAGGGTAGCAGCAACTCCCGTCTTTTTACGTCTTTTGGTATGACGCGGTTGTGAGGCTAAAATAATAATGATAATACTACATCTTGTTTACCCAATGTAGCCTCATCAGTATGTCAGTATGCATACTTTTCTTCATGAGGGCTTGATTATTTGGTGCTTTATAGCTATAACTTTAGCCGAGCTCCAAGGTAAGGCATAAAATAGATTAATGTCTTGCCAAAAGACATAAGTGCTGCGTTGCCTATAACGCGCATAATCTTATTTCTTTTCTTTTATTAATATTCAAAGGGCTATGCAGCCTATACCGATTATGTGTCTATATAGATGTCTGAATATATATATCAAATAATGTTACTTGATAACAAAAATTAAAATATCAAAGTCATTATATTTTATTTCATCAATTTCGTGGCAAAGTTTTAAAATAAATAAAACAAACAGAGACAATGGAAGTAAGAAATACCACCGACTAGTGCCCGAGGATCGATTAAAGAGGTTCTCCTCACCAGTCAGTGGTTTACAAACAAACAAACAACCTCCATTTGTAATTTATTCTGACGATGATAATTACTCGTTAGGCAGGTAACGTACACACATTGGAAAATTGCTAGTACAGTGAGAACTCACCCGAAAACGTCACGTCTACCCCATCTGACGTCATGACATCGTCGACTCTTTCACCCCCTCCTTCCTCTTCTAACTGCGTGTCAGTCATGTCTTTCTCTAAATTCTAAATTCTATGAGCAATCGAAATATGAAAATTAAAATAAACTCTGCAATAATCACTGTCAAAAACATAAAATAATCATACACATGGCAAAAAAGAAAGAGAAAAAAGGGCACCCTTTATAATTAAAATTTTCGAATGAATATCGAATATAAACTTATCTTTCATAATGATATAAACATGAACATTTATAAATCCTCTTTAAAATGATATTCAATTTTAATCATATCATTCACGCATGAGTGAGCAAAGTCAATTAACTATGAAATAATCTCTAAAAGAAAATTGTGAAAATAGGGCATCTCGTAACAGTGGGCCGGAGATTAGTGAATCGTACACGACTTAATGTTACTCCACAGTGAGGGTTACATACTGAGAGCCTGATTTTTGTTGTAACTATATATTGGAGCCTAAAGCTTCCTTTTTATCGTGCATTGACTGATACATCCATCTGTTTATATATCAGTGACTATACTCGTACTAATGCATACCATGACATAGCAAACTTTAGTATATAAATGGGCATAATAGTGCCCGGTAAATTATCAGGGGGGTGTTTCATCAACTAAAATCGAAATCAATTTTAGGCCCTTAAAATTGATCAAATCGTATTTTTAAATCGATTTTAGGGCTTAGTAAAACATCCCCTGATCCAATGCATTAAATAGATGTCAAGTAGTGTTTAGGTCACTGAAATTTACGGGGAAGACCATATTACATAACAGGATATGCATAATGGTATAATACAATCAATTAAACCACCACAGAGAGCGATCGATGCCTCATGCATTCACAGTCTACTAGGCAGTTAATTATAAACACGCTCGCAAAGTCTTTCGAAAAGCAAGTCCACCTAAGGCAACTTTAACTACCTTGTCTGTTAGCTACTGAAATAGGCGACCATTACAATGACGTATAGCTGAACACGATTTCTATGGGGTATGATTTCTTAGATGTCATATCTATTTATTCAATTCCAAAACTGCAAGAGGCAAGGGGAAGGCTAACATCTGATAAGTGGAACTTTTGTTAAAGACCCTATCCGATGAAAAAACAACTTTATTTTAGTGGACAACTGAATAAACGAAGAAAAACAAAAATAAAGGAATAACAAGTATTTTCCCTTTCAGTGTTGCACAAAAGCAAAATTTAATAAAACCTCATTTTCTGCACACCCCTTCAAATTACGGGCCAACGTGGGTCAAATTTGCCGAAGTTACAGTGACGACATATAACATTATGTGCATGGACCCCATCGTGTCACCTATATAGCAGAGGCGATTAGCCGTGTTTAATTAATGCAAAGTCATTTTGAATATGCGTATTCCACATAAGATGATGTCATCAAGTCGATAGCATGCTTTTAGGTCGACAACTTCCGATTTTCAAAGCTCAAAATTTGAGTTTTCAGAGATCAAGTTGTTTCTCCTCTGACAGACCCTAAAATGGCACGTAATTGAAAGTATTTTAATATATGGCTTATAAACTTTCCGTTGATATATAATTCATACATGTCACGTCCTATAATAAAGTATTAGATCTAAATAAAGAACTTGTCCCTGCAAAAATATAATTAGACTTTCACAAATTTGATTCAAAAGAGTCAAGTAATGTTTAATACCTTACCTTATGGTCCTTGTTCAGCAAAAAGGATGTATAAAGAAGTCGATATACGTGGAGACAATTTGAAGAAAGAAACTCGCTTGAGGATTATGATTCTTTGTTCGATGTCTGTCCGAATTCTTTTAGTTCCTCAGACTGTCGGATAATTAGGTGGCTCCGTTATAATTGTTTCGCTTTGAGCTGATCTTCTTCCTAACTATCAGCTCCTCAGGTCTAGCACCATTTGATCCTTTGAGTCAAGCTTTTGACATGCGGCTTCCCAACTTGTTTATCGGCCTTCTTAACCCACATTCATTCTCGAGAATAAACTATTACGCCAAGTCATCAACGACCATATGCCAGTGTATGTAGATCCCGTCTGGCTGATGACTGTATGTTTCAAAGTCCAATTTATATCTTCCAAATTCTCTGCCAATAATGAATTTCCCGTCACCTCGTTAAGATTACATCATGTATAAAATGCGAGATATCGTTTATGAAATGTTTAGGCGTACGAGCTATAAAATTGCGCATAACACAGAATGTGTTGATGGGTCACGCTTTACTTTATATTATATTATGTACCAGCCGAAATAACTGTAACAAGATCTAGCGACCTGTATTACGTGCGAACAGGGAGTTGTGAAATCAATTAAGAATTTGCTGGTTCGAGGTATATAGTGTGTACCCATTGTCCCGTGTTATCCACGGGAGCTGGCGTCCTCGGTTCCATGGTCAAACCATGGAACCGAGGACCCTATAGTCCGATTTATTTTGTGAATTACGTAATACATGAGTACTGTTTTCTAGCTACTGTTACGGGCCATATCTCTGCTCTTGTTTGACCAGGGAGTTGGAATGAAACAATGTGCTGACAGTTGGGCTGGAGGAGCAAGGACCACTAGCCCCGAGAATTCTTAAAATATCAATATTAATTGATTGATTTGGTTATTTATTGATTTACTTATTTCTGACAGTTATACAGGGTTGCACATTTTCACCAATGGTGTTCTTCCATGAGGCCCTGTTTGGTAACCCCCACATGCATTAACAATCATGAATAGGTAAGGCCACAACAGACACAGAACAAAACATAGAAGAAAACAAATATATTAAACAAATAATACACAGCAGTGAGAGCATTGGTAAGAACATGGAGTTACTTATCTTTAGATTAGTAACTCCATGGTAAGAATTACCCACACAAGGTACCCTTGGAACAGTCTAACACACCTGCCTCGATAGCTGATGGTGTCTGGACTGTTTCGATGGTACAGAGTGTGGGAAATTTTTACTAATGCCCGAACAAAATGATGTGTATTATTTGTTTTATAAAATGATGTTTTATAACATGATTTTACTAATGACTTGTCATTAGTAAAATTACGTGTTAGGCAAAATAAATGCCTGGTCGTGGAAGTGGTCACTGGCCCTCTCATCCTAAATGTTATGTTTTTTAAGTTCCAAATTTACACTACTTCAAGATCAAATTTCCCCGTGAATGGTTATTATATGAAATATGGTCAGTTTTTCAAACACTTTTAAATGGGAACTCCGCCATAGAACAGAATATCGAAAGGAGGAGGAGGAGGAAGAGGAGGAGGAGGAGGAGTAGACGGTGGAGTAGAATGAGAAAAACGAGAAGAAGAAAAAGAAGAAGAAGAAAAACGAGAAGAAGAAAAAGAAGAAGAAGAAGAACATTCTGAACCGGTTACTTTCTGCTCTCGATCGTCAACCGTATAGCCAGGATGTATCCATGCATCCCTTTAAAAGTACCCTCTCCACGAAGATGCTTAATTTGTAAAGTAAAAAGAATATCATATAAAGTTGCAACAGATATGGACATGAAATAAATCAAGGTTACATCGAACTTATTCACTAAAACATATTTTATCAGGCAAAGAGAAAAAAATAATAAAGGAAACGGATAAAAAGGCGATCTGAATATTTTGATACTGGCATGTTGCTCTCGAAGGGAAAGGGAACAACCTACTTGTTTGTTTTGTTTGCTTGATTGCTTAATTAGGTAACAAACGTATGCCCCTCCATCCCAGTAAAACAAAAAAAACCGGGACAATTTTATCATAATTTATGGGCAGACACTATTTCTACTGACATCATGGTCATAGAAACATATGCAGGTCGTCATAAAAACCTGTCAGAGACAGGGGCGACCGGACACGAGTCGGTCCAAGCCTCATAAATAAGATTACTACGTGAAGACATTCGATGTGCCCTACTGCCCTTTACAGTACCACGAGATTTGTTTTCTTCATTAATCGAATTACATGTAGCTTGAAACTTTCATGATTCTTGTAATACTTGACGATGACGAAAAGACCTGATGCCCTCGTGCCATTGCTACTATATTTGGTTTATTTCATTGTATATTTTTTTGTAATATACTTATATTAAAATGCAAATAACATTACAATTTCATTGTATCATGTTTTGCATTAGAAATAACATCATATCATTTGAATTGAATCGAACTGAATATTACATTTAACAACTGCATTATTTATACCCCTACCAAGCTTTATATTTATTTAAGTATGTAATTGATTACATCAAAAAGGATTCAACAAAGGCCCTATACTATCTTTCTTTTTACTGGTCTGATTTATTTCAAACTTTTTCTATTCTGTTTCTCAAAATATTTCTGCTTTCATACACTTGACCATTTTACAAGGGTTAGATTGCCCTTTGAGGTTTATCATGAGTTCTGATAATATAACAGAAGATAATATGTTGCAGTCTGTACCGCCCGTACCGGCCAAACTTACCCGATTTTTACATGATTCAATTTGCTATAGTATGACGTATCCAGAAGCCAACAGACCGGTGAGTGTGAGATGGGGGGGGGGGGGGGGGGGGAGGCTGATCTGTTTGCATTCTGAAGCGTTCAGAGACCCTTTAAATCCCCTTTATAAGTAGAAATAATAATTATGTCGTTTACGTGAGCACGAAAGGTAGAGAGCATAGGTTTGATAGAGAGAGAGAGAGAGGGAGAGATTAAAAAGGGGGAGGGGGGTTTCCGGGCACCCTCTTTTCTTGTCATAGAATTTTTGTGTAAAATCCCCCCAATCTGAAGACCTTTACTTTAATCTTTCTTCTTGTCAGATTTTTCGAGGATTGGACACGCCCCCTCCCCTGCTCCGCTTTTACAAAATCCTGAATCCGCCCCCTAAGAGTCACGTGATCTGGTCAGGTATGGTAAATGCTTCGTGGCTTTGCTAAATTAAGAGGGCTTTGCTTAATTAAAAGGGCAATAAAACAACCAACTGCTAATTAGTCGTATGTTATCGTCACACAATCAACAATAGATGGCTGTGTTGATTGTGCTCATTCATGGACTTGTGTCTTAAAGGTCTTCAAAAGTGCGTAGACACGGAACGATTGTGCCCCCCCCCCCCCCCCCCCCCCCCCCCCCATTTTTGAAAGTATGTGACAGATTGATCAGGTATAGAACTACTTCGATCGTGGCTCTGCTATATTAAGAGTACAATAAAACAACTAACTAATTATTCATGTATAATCAGGGGCGTACGCAGGGGGGGGGGGGGGGGGTTGGGGGTTAAAACCCCCCTTTGGTATTTTTATGTATGTAAACCCCCCTAAAAAAACCTGAAACCCCCCCCCCTCCCCCCCCCCCCCCCCCCCCCCCCCCCCCCCCCCCCCCCCCCTCCCCCCCCCCCCCCTTTGTTTTTTTTTTTTTATTTTTTATTTTTTTTTATTATTAAAAAAAAAAAAAAAAAAAATTATACCCACGGCTAACCTAAATAAGGTGACCTTACCCACCCCCCTCAACGAAGAAAAATGTCAAATTTTGAAATTTCGAGACAAAAAAAAAAAAAAGTGTCCGCTTACCCCCCCACTGAGCGACTTTTCGGCCGGCGCGATTTTCAAATTTTCGGGAGCAAAATATTTTAAAAACCCCCCCCCCCCCCCCTTGAAAAAATCCTGCGTACGCCCCTGTGTATAATAATCACACAATCTGCAATAGCCAGCTGCATGTGTTGACTTTTGCTCATTCTTGGACCTATGTCTTAAGGTCTTCAAAAGTGCGTAGACACGGAACGTTTGTGCCCCCCCCCCCGTTTTTTAAAGTATGTGACCAATTGATTTTTTCTTATATATGATTCTTGGGAATGTGAAATATTAAAGCTTACATCAAAAAGTATTCGACAAAGGCCCTCATCACTTTCTTTTTACTAGTCCGATTTATTTCAAACTCACCAATTCTGTTTCTCATAATATTTTTGCTTTTATTAACATGAACTCTTTTTACAAGGGTAAATTGGACTGCCCATTAAGGTTTATCTTGAGTTCTGGTAATACAATAGGAGATAATATTCTCTCTGTTTATTGTAGTTTGATGTTTTTATCTGATAATGTATAGGATTACATAAAGCACGCTCCACTTATATCATATTTCGTTATATTATACATGTAGCTATATATTTCTCGCCCTAATCCGGTTGACGCAGGCTATATAATTTTCACATTTGGCAGGAAGTCAGCTGCCTTTTCTTGCACATCTATTAGGCGGGCAGTTTGTACCAGCCACAACCGAATTTTGCATGATGCAATTTGCTATTATGATTGCTTATCCATAAGCTGACAGCCCGTTTGGGTTGGTGGGGGCTGCCGATCTGTTTGCATCCAGAGGCGTTCAGTGACCCTTTAAAACCCCTTCATATTATATACAAACGTTTACATGAACACGAAATGGAGAGAGAGAGCATAGGTGTGTGTGTGTGTGTGTGAGAGAGAGAGAGAGAGAGAGAGAGAGAGAGAGAGAGAGAGAGAGAGGGAGAGGAGAGAGAGAGAGAGGGGGGGGGGGGGGGGGGGAGAGAGAGAGAGAGAGAGACAAGATAAGGGGGCGGGCTCCGGTCCGAACACTCTCTTTTACTTGGCAGATGATTTCTTTGTAAAATCACCATCTTCAAAACATGATGACCTTTTCTTTCATATTTCTTCCTGTCAGATTTGTTGGGGATTGGACCCCCTCCCCCTACCCTCCCCTGCTCCGCCTGTACATAATCCTGAATCCGACGCCTGAAAGTCACGCGATCTGGTCTTATGTATATAGATCTGCTTCGTGACTTTGCAAAATTAAGAGCGCAATAAAACAACTAGCTGCTGTTTATTCGTATTTTAATCACCACGTAATCAGCAATAGATTGCTATTTTGATCGAGGGTAAATAACACGGTATTCGCTGGAACAAACCAATAATAAACAGACCGATCCTGTTGATATCGTATTCATGTAAAGGCCCTATGCGTATTTTCGTATACAAATGGGGATAGTCTATATATTTCATTAAATTATCAGGAACCGCAGAAATGTATATGTGTCTCTGTGTGTTGGGGGGGGGGGGGGGGGGGGGGGGGGGGGGGGGGGGGGTCAGGCCTCGGGTGCACTTACTTCGATTTTAAAGCTTATCTGCCGTAGTTTACAGGAGGGATTAGACTGCCCTGCAAGGTCACTGGACAGGTGGTTATCTCATCAACTCAGTTCTCAGTTAACATAAGAAAAAGAGGATCATGGGGGACCAATGGTCACCGATTAGGCATTGTTTGTTATATAGAGGGCGCAAGTAGCTACAAGTAGTGCAGTGGGCCTTTTACATCTATACACCCAAACCTTTTTAGCGCCTGATTTAAAGCGTGATTAATTTCAGGTTGGAGAGAAAATACAGAACGTGCTTGCAACCTCTTTTTTTCTAGGGGGAGGGTGCGATGTTTCCATGTTGCATTCGAGCATAGTTTAGGTAAAAAGCCTCACAGAAGTGTTTTAAAGCACTTGAACATTTTCGCAACCGTACAGCCAATTGAAAATTACTGGTGTGTCATGTCTGCGTGCATATCCATTTGGAAAAAAAGCAAAGAGGGTCCCTTAGAACCCATAATGGAGCGCATCCAGGATTTTGTAACAGAAAAGTGAGCACTATTTTTTTTTTCTTCTGAAAATTTGAAAATCTCGCCAGAGGGGGGGGGGGGGGGGCTAGTTCCGCTGGTTTTCTAGATTCATTGAGTGCAGGTCATGAAAATGTGCAAAGTCATTGTCAGGGTTATAGATTTAGATCCATCGATATGCTGTATATTCACGTACGTGACAGTGATGCAACTTTGATCTTCTTATCGATATTTACTTGTCCAGTGGCGGAGCCAGGAATTTTTTGAGGGAGGGGAGGGGGTATCCGGAAGAATAAGAGACAGAAAGAAAGAGAATAATAATGCCCACATTTTCAAGTGCCTATCTTGGGGTATTTTCTTTTGCGTATGCCATATTGGTGTTATCAAAAGCACATGTCCCGTCCCCACTAATATATATATATATATATATATATACAGCATTGCGCATCCGTACACTGTAATCTATATCAAACGGCAAGTTAAAGCAAATAGATGAACTCTGCCATCAAATAAACCGACGCCCTCTATCAAAAAAATTCGAGATCCCCTCATGCATGACAAAATTGAGAACTACAATATCATTTAGAATGTTTGAAATCAAAGTCTTTAGCAATGCTACAAATTGGTATTCATGTGGACTCCGAATTCACATTCATTTTTGTGTGCGCCTTGGCATAGAAGTTCTAGATAGATGGCGCAATACAAATTCCTATTACATGTATTAGTTGGACTATTAAGTCTCGTTAAACATCTAGTGCACTCCTCCCCCTGTGCCACATTGTACCTGCACACCTTCAAACACCAGCCCTCTGCCCTCCCCTTTACACATAGAGGACAATAAATAATAATAATAATACTCAGTTTTTGTATAGCGCAAATTACAATTAAGTCTCTAAGCGCTGAATGACAATGTTTCTTTTTCAGTTTCTCTTCATCAATAAATAAATACACAAGTACACTGTTCATATTTACATTCAAATATTTCCTTTTTTTATTATAATAATTGAAATGGCATTTCAAATGTGCTCACAAGAAAATTACAGGTGTATTTCAACACAAAACACTAATAATATAATGGTAACACATCTCACATCATTTACAGCATGATCTAGCAGGCATTTCGATCTCCCCACAAAAAAACCTTGGGAAGAATGGTGAGACAAGAAAAAAATATATTGCTATTTTCATGAAATAAAATCCCTAGAAGACAGACGAGTACGGCCCCACTCCCGGAACAAACAAAAACATGAATACGTATAAAGACAAATAACCATGCAAGCTGACGGACTGAAGAAGGACATGCATGTTACGCTATTTAATGTGAGAACTGCAATGTCGTTGTTTCTTTTGGCACAGAGTTCATCAGACAATCAAAAGACAATGTTCCGTTTGGCCACAAAAAAAAAGACCTCTGGATGATGGCACATGTTGATAAAGTGTACAGCTAAAAATGTACCTAAGGATTGGGGATCCACGTGGAATAAGGATGCGAGAGTGTCTCATTAGATTTGGTGTATATTTTTTCTGCAAGAGCAAATATAGGACGAATATGGTAGTGTGTATTGAGACATGGATGAGTGCTACACTTTTTGACTTGTGTGCTTGCTTTGTTTCACAAAGACTAAGATCGACTTAAATCCTATCTGCACTAGTTTGGCCAGTAGGGATTAGACCTCCCTGCTGGTCACTGGCAGATGGTAATCACATCAAATCAGCTCTCAATTAACATAAGAAAAAGGGGACCATGAAGGATCAACAGGTACCGCTTAGGCATTATTGGCTATATGGAGTGCCCAAGTAGCTTTAAGTAGTGCAGTGGGGCTTTAAGTTGGACGTGAATTATGGCAGGCCATTCATGCCACTGGTTGTTCTCTCACCATTGGTCTCTCTAGGGACGTCACAAATCTACAGAATTTACGTTTTTTGATAGTTCATTGTTAAAGAAAAAGACTTACATACATTGTAAACTTAAGTTTACGTCCCTTGAGAGACCAATGCCAGGAATGGTGATAGCAAGGAGGATATTTCAAATATCTCTTTGGTGAGAGCAACCAGTGGAATAAAAGCCTGCCATAGTTAAAGTCCAACTTAAGTCGATCTTAGTCTTTGTGAAACACCCCCTTTACGGCTACATATAAGTGCTTGTCTTTAAAGAAGGTTCAAAGCCGTTACATCAAGCAAGACAACGATGTGCTTTCCTTGCAGGTGTTGAAAATATTCAAATAGCTCTCTATTGCATAACAAAAAGACATTAAAAATTAGAGGTATACTTTTATGATGGTAATTAGTTTTTCGGGGACCCATATGTTTACAAAGAAAAAGCGCAAATGGGTTAAGGCTTGAGAATTTTAAAATGAAACCATAATAGGCCATTCTTGAAAAGTAACCAAATTTACACTGAAGTGCCTTGATACAATTTTTTTGTTCACCCGTTACAAATAATTGTATTCAATAGCCAGTATGCCAATTACATACAGTTTGTGTTGCTAGGTAGGGGAAACATAATATGGCTTGTCGTACCTAACAAAAGGTTATGTATGCAATTTGTATTTTGACTAGTTAAATACAACCATTCGTATCGGGTGAATGAAATAATTGTTAACGAGGCACTTTACAAAGATTTGTGCATTAAATTTAATTGCATTAAGAAAAGGATCTATTAATTCATCCCAGTCTGATGTGAGTGGACTATGAATGTACACAAAACCTCCCTCAAGACTTTGTTTAATGTTAATGCCAATGGTAGTTTACAAGCTTGAGGAACCTACAATGCCCTGGAATGCTAAACGAGAATAAAGCTCTGCACATTTCACTTCAAATGATAGTGTACACACATGAAATTGTTTTATGTTACAAGCGCAAACATGAAAACAAAACAAATCGAATATAAACAGAGGGTAAAAAAATATGAGCTAAAGAACAGGATGGACAAATGATTAGCACTGTAAGAGAAAAAAGTTGAACAGAAAATCATCTAGCACATGTAACTTTTGATAGGAGAATAATGGGAGACTCTTTTGAAAACGTTTCATGCCAATTTTTCTGTACGTAAGCTTTGTGATAACCATGCCTGAACAGTTACCTTTTGAATATATGTACGCTCGGACAACCTGTCCAAAAATTTCAGAAACAGTATCGTATGCATATGATTCGGGTATATTTCTGCAGCTGCCACGATAAACATTGTATCGCTGTTCAGAGCCAGAAGGGCGTTAATGTCTGTCTTAACTCCCGGCTCTCAACAGACGATGTCATCTCCTAAGAAATTTAAGGACGTTAAGTAACACAATTGTAAATAGTCTTCAAGATATCTGTGTAAAAATACTAAATGATCTTAATGTTCTTAACGGACGATATTACTTCAAGAAAGATCAATGAATACACAATTTCAATACACAATTTAAAACAGTCTTCAAGATCGTCCGTCTCTCGACAGACGATAGGGGGCGACACATACTCTGCAGAAAGCATGAACTCTGTGTAAAATGTCTAATGCCCTTTATTCTCTTACTCTTACGATATTACTTCAAGAAAGATCTGCGAATACACATGCTTGCACAATAAAAACAGAACATTTCTATTCCTGTACATGAAAACAAACCACACCCATCAGTACACACACAGCATACATGTGCACACAAACACATGTATATGAACACATATATATCTCATCTCCTTGATTTCTCCAAAATATATAGTACTTGGAAATATAGCTCTCTCTCTGTTCATCATAGATTCTGCATGTACCTGTACATAAAAACAATAAAAATCCTACTAACACCCACGACCTGACTGCAGCATTAAAAGAATTCGATATCTGTCAGGATCAGACACAGGCTATGTTCTTTGGTTTTAGTAGAAGCACTATAGTCATCCCGAGGAATGATAACCATTTTTTGCGGAATTCTGAACTAGTTTCTCTTGATTCCATTCAAGGCATCGTTTAACAATGTAAAATCTGAGATACATGGCCCTACGTGTTATCAGTGTCTGTGATATGGTGTAATATTGAAGCCTTATAAAACTTGCGCATCAAAATTATCATGAAGTGCCTCAAAAAAAAATCTTTGAGTGACCGGTTTTACCATACACATTTTCCCCAATAGACTGTAGTGTTATAAAAACTGTTAGGAAAACTAAGTTTTAAATTTCGATTTCCAATCACAAATATCTTGATAATCAGACAGGCGATCGGCTTGTAAAAGTCGCAGGGTTCCTGACTGACCTAAAGGTTTATAATTATCATTGCAGCATAAGCTAAATCCAGGATTTTGTTTCAGAATCTAAGACAAAGCTACCCAATCCCTTTAAGTGGAAATGCTTTTTTACATTTTTAGACGGCCTTTTACACTGTTCATAACATCAATCATAATATTAGTAAGGCAGAGGTATAGTAAGCCATGTCCAGAAAAGACAAGGGCAGGGAGGGAGAGTGAGGTTCCACCCCCCACCCCAGCCCCTTTTAGGTTGACAAAATCATTACTCAATTGTACTCCTTCAATTGGCAACACAATGATTTCATATGGAAGGTTCTGCCTGTACGTAACACACAATTTTCACAAAATGTAGGTGACATTAAAAACAATTCCATCTGCAATATGCACATTTTTTCCAAGCATCAGTTATAGGGGTTCAACAAATTTTTATTTGGAAAAGCAAGTGATGAAAGAAAGAGAACATGAGAATTTGTAAATGTTTTCCACAGGAAGACAAGGATTAAAAGCGATTTAATGTTTACCTTTGATAACTTCTGACAGCCAATATGCATTCAAAGAACCACAATTATTTTACAGTCCACAATACCATGTTAGGAATGAGGGTCTGCACAATTCATCTAAGACAGCATTTTGGGTTTAAAAAATTTACTCTTGAATGCCTACTTCTAACAACTGTCAATGAAAGAACATGATGCTCATTAGGGGAAAGAGCAAACAGAAACGGTGCAAATGATCAAATCTACAGCAGAGAAAGATCCCACGTTGCTTCATCGGTGGATATTCCAATTTCTAGATCACAGCTTCAAGTTGATGATGATGACTCTATGGTTGGGTTTCCATGCAAGGCCGTGCTTTTAAAAGGTGACGCAGTTTCAAAGACGATGAGTTGTAGGGGAGGCCGTCTAGAAAGGAATATTCATCCACAATTTCGTCCAGAAATATTTTTCTGTTCACAATTTTTTGATTCTTCATAGATGTAACATGATTTTCCACCAAAGTAAATGAGGGAAACGGGAGAGGCCATCTCGTGGTCACTCATCCACAACGGTGTAGTTAATCATTTCCAGCCAAGAAAAAGATTTTTTTTTTTTTTAATAAAAAAAATAAGATATATGTAGGGGTGGTAAAATGTACATATGTTTTACATAAATTACATTTTCTAAATAATATTTTCTACTTCAGTTGTGTTAATAAATGATTTTATTGTCCCCAAAGAAAATGATGATAAAACAAGAGATGAGAATCTCTAGGCAGAATATTCCCTGCTATGTACATGCAGATAAAAGGCATAGCTTAGAAAATGATGATGTACTCTCTCCTTCATGATCCTATCTCAAGAGTATCATTTCCATTGAAGTAACCGCATTGAGTACAAACACTCCCCGAAGAAAGGGTATGGCACCAGTCTTTTGAGGTTTATCCCACAGATATAACAAGGAAGGTGATGTGCTCTCCTTCATGATCCTATCTCAAGAGTATCCTGTCCACTGAAGAAACCGCAAGTAAGTACAAACACTCCACGACAATATGGCACCAGTCTTTTGAGGTTTATCCGACAACTATAACAAGGAAGAGTCCATTCCCTGTGCCGGATTATGCGGAAATCATGCATCACATGAGCATTGTCTGTTTATGTTCTAGCTGCAGCATTTTAAGTCCGTCCAGCTCACTCTGGCGATGGGATCAACGCCACTCTCTTCATGGCGATACTGTACACTTTTAAAAACAGGGTCCCCTCTTCACAAAACTCGTCATCAGTGACAAATGACAGTTTTTGTTATAAGCTAGTGAAATCCTTGCTTCTGATTGGTCATCAGCAGATTCGTCACTGGATTGTGTCACTTGTCATTGAAAAAAGGCTTTGTGAAAACGGGTCCCAGGAAGAGCCTGGCTGGCATGAAAGGTAGCATGAATAAGTCTATCTAGCGCTAAGCTAAGCTAAGCTAAGCGGGGAGTCAATATCACGACTGCTCCGACGAAGCAGGGTTCTCGATCTCTTTCTTGATGATCTCTCGTACCTCTTGGGGTAGCTGGTCGGGTTTGAGTAGGACTGACGTCCGGGTGCTCACTTGCCTCACGATCTTGTACACCACTGCAATGAGAGAAAATAGTGGGGAGAAGTTTAAGATAAAGTTGAGTTCTGGTCATGCGATTGCATTGTGAAAGAAACGGTGTGGAATCGACCAGAAAAGGTTGATCATCTAGCATATAAGAATTTGTGTGTATTGCAAGGTTCTAGAATCATCAAAATGATAAGTATTTGGCCCAGTCTTGGTAAAGTTACAAACACTGTACACAGAAAGATGTATATGGGAATACACGAACACGTGGCGTAAAAATCCTACCCCCGAGTTTTACGATGTTACATGACATATTTAGAATATGAAGGCATTTGAAGAGCCATGCTTTTCATGGAACATGTCTTATCTGATGTTCTTCCACACTTGCATAATAAGAATGATAACGCTCACAAATTATTGTTCACCTCTTCCCAGAACTCAACTTTCTCTTTAAAATGCTCATGCGTGGGTATATAGTCATTCGTGAAGTACAATGTAGCATAATGGTAAACACCAAAGCACAAATAAGGCAAGAAAACAATTCTGAACGTGACAGTAAGGCAAGGTGATTTCAACAGCCAATTCTTTTTTTTAATTGTGCCTTATATCTGTGGATAAACAGAGGTTTGTATTTCTTCTTGAAAATTCAAAATGGGTGTATATATACAAAGTTGGACATCATGAAACATTTGTTTTTTTTTTTAAATGGATGGTGTAAAAAAGGCACAAGAATTGGAATCTTTAAAAAAAAATCTAATTGAGAGGCATGTTAGTAAACTTAGTCATTTAATGTAAGTGGCATGTATCAAGCTCTATCAAATATAAATTGGTAACTATTTCATTTCTTAGTTTAATGGAACATTTCACAATTTACATTACAAATGTAAATCACAAAAAAATCAACCAGTTACCAGTCAAGAACTCACATTTTCTGAGCGGCTTGAGTCGACAACTTTCCTCGACCCACTCCAAGACGTCTTCGTCAAAGGCCGCTCCCGGGCTGGTACATACTGCGACAAGGTAGGAGGTGAATAGCGGTTTAGCTATCATGCTGAACTGTAAATGTGGGCTAAGGAATATAGACCCTTGTGATGGTGTGAACCTACATGTACCAGAGTATACATAAATATTATAAAATTCAATCACTGATTACTAAAAAAATAATGAAATAAATAATGGAAGAAAAAAAAATAATAATAATAATAATGATAATTTTTTTTTTTTTTAAATTGTGCTTGATTGAATGCACATGTGACATGAACAGGTTTATTTTGATGCATACAGCCAGGGAGTGATTCTACTGGTTAATCATGACAAGATCAACTCTAAAAGCAGTTATTGGTTATCACACATGTAATGAGGAAGTCCTAGATGAGCTGGTAGAGTGAGAAGCGCATTAACTCATATTCTTTTACACAGAGATAACGCCCTTCAGAGTTTCTTCCTCCAATCATCCGCAGATCAACAGTAATACCATGAAAAGCTGTAGTAGTCTAACCAACAACAAAAAAGTCTTGCAGATTAATCAAATTACAACACGGACTTCTGTTAAAGAACAACTGAGATAACATAAATTTCAGAATACTACCTCAGGTAATCAATTACATCTTTGAGCACAAGATTACAAACATTTTCTAACAGCAGAGGGCAGTATATAAAGGATACAATCCACCATTTCCAATTGTCTTTCATTTGTTGATTGATATATTCATTGCACATCTGTTGGAGCTGCCTCTCTGACTGAGAGTTGACTGGTGCTCCTGTATCGGGTAGACTGTCTTGACAATCACTGCAAGGCAACACACAAGAAAAATGATACCATTCTCCAATTACACCTGGGACCTGTTTCACAAAGCCTTTTTTCAATGACAAATGACAAAAATCAGTGACAAATCTGCTGATAACCAATCAGAAGCAAGGATTTCAGAAGCTTATTACAAAGACTGTCATTTGTCAGTGATGACAAGTTTTGTGAAATGGGGCCCAGGAAGCAATATATATATATATATGTGAACATATCTGGAGAGTACTTATGGGTTATTACAAGAATGTTGGAGAATGTAATAATCAGGTACTGAATACATTTCAAAGGGCAGGGATATGGATCACAAAACAAACCAGAATATGCCAGTATATAATAGAAAATTACATTTTAAAGGCATCGTCTAACAATGTTAAATCTGAGATGCATGATATGGTGTAATATTGAAGCCCTAAAAAAATTGCGCTTCAAAATGATCATGAAGTGCCTCAAAAAAGTAAAGATCTTTGAGTGACCGGTTTAACCTTGCTCATTTTTCCCAGTAGACTGTGGTGTTATAAAAAACCGTTAGGAAAACGAAAATTTGATTTCGATTTCCAATCATGAATATCTTGATAATCAGACAGGCGATCTGATTGTAAAAGTCATGGGGTTCCTGACTGACCTAAAGGTTTATAATTATCATTGCAGCATGAGCTAAATCCAGGATTTTGTTTCAGAATCCGAGGTAATGTTACTGAGTCACCCAAAGGGCTTACCATATTTCATTGTTGACTTTTTCAACCTCTTCTCTTGTTTTCTCCACTTCTTTTCGGAGGGAGATCGTCTCATCCTTCAGGTGAACCATGTATTCATGAGCTGTAAAATAAATAAAGGAATTACAGAGAAATTTTAAGTAAATATGAAAATATCTGGAGATCATTCTCAATTCTTTTACCCCTATTTTAACCGGGCTATTTCAGACCAGGTTTTTACCGGGGGGGGGGGGGGGGGGGGGGGGGGGGTCAATTGTCTGATTCATGTGAAATTTTGCATGGAGGTACATTGAAGAATAAACATTGCGTACAATTCGCATCAGCTTCATGTCACATAACTGGTTTAAGGGATCATGAAATTGACTCTTTGAATATACTGATATTAATGGTGTTATATCCAGAACTTATTTTGTAGAAGTTAGTGTACGATTTCAAGTACATGTATTTCTAAAGTGTCTAGTTTTCCAGTAAATCATCATTCATCAATAAATGAACCTTTTCCTACCTTTCTGAAGCATAGTAGCAGTGCTTGTCTTAGATGAGTTATTATCATTGCTGCCGTTCTTCATACCCGGTATTAAACTCTGTATTTCATCCAGCCCCGTCTGGATGTTAAACCGTCGTTTATGCTCCGAGTGGAGGTGCTTTATTCGCCTACGAGCATCCTAAAGGTCAAGATAATTCAAAGACGGAAATAAAGGAACTTTGTTTTCATTTGTATTGACATCTGCAAATCTTTTTTTTTTTTTAATAGAAAATGCTGAAACAGACCCCCCCCCCCCCAACACAAATATTGTTTTCTGAAAATATGGGAAGTCTCAAAATAATAGAACTTTCCATATTGAAAATATTGAATGTATTTTAAAAACATCAGAAAAGTTGAACAAGTAGAAATGATGGGTTAAGTCAATGCAAAGAATAGCATATCAATATACAATTAACTTGTTTTTCATTTTTACTTCATTTTTTTCATTTCCTAATTCTTTGAAAAATACCTATAATGTAAACAGATAAAATGCATTTAAATGCACTTATGTAGTATATTCAAATGTTAAAACCTATAGGAACTGGCAGATTTATGAGAGCTCAATGGTCATTTGGTCTTATTTCCATATGGTCTTCTCTCCAAGGGTGATAGTGAATGTTTTACAAAATAAGGTTTAAGAAAATAAGGTTTAGAATGCTAAGGTTTTGTAATATAAGGTTTAAAAAAATAAGGTTTTGGAAATCTGAGCAAAAGGCGAGGTGCTGAGTGCTTGAGCGAGGCATTCAAGTAAATCATGAAAAACCTTGCACATGAGGAACAAAGAAAGAAAAATAGGGTAAAAGTGCATTTCTTTCTTCAAAAATTGAAATATTTTATGGAGAAAAGAGTGAATTATCAATGATTGTTACCTTGTCTTTTGATCCTGAATCGGGGGTCTTCTGTTTCTTCGCTCTGGGAGCATGGAACTACAATGAAATTAAGAATAATAAAAATAAATAATATGTGTACTTATAAAGCGCACTTATCTAATAACTTACTTCAAGGTGCTATACAATACTAAATACACAAAATAAAAAAATCTCTCTCTCCAGAATTTAACAAAATAATAGGATTAGTAACTCTGAGTCATTAAAAGCTTTTTAACGTGTTTCGAAAAGGTTTCTAGGCATTGAATGTTTTGAATGTCACTTGGCAGCTTGTTTCAGAGGATTTGTGCAGAATACACAAATGCACGATCACCATAATGGGTGGTTTGGGTTCTGGGGAATTCTAAGATGGTAGAGGCAGAAGGATGGAGCGAGTAATGGGATTGCTTTATGATGAGGAGATCATTCAGGTACTCAGGCGCAGTATTGTGGAGTGCCTCAAAGACGAGCGTTAGGAATTTGTGTTCAATCCATTTTTGGGGTAAGGTCAGGGACACCAGCTCAGATAGGCAGAGTAGCTTTGTAAATTATATCAGAGTCAGAACACAGTCAACCACATTACATAAAGCACAGAAAAGCTGAGTTCAGATGTGCTGCTGTAAAACATGGCGGTTTGTTTTTATAATGACTTGAGTGTAATATGCTTTTCATTTCTCTATCTTATAACATGGAGATCGGAGTATAAGCATATGACCTTTGTTGTGCATAGTTGCCTTTCATTTACATGTACATGTTTAAGAAAAAACAACGTCTTGGTATATACCAAAGAATATCAAGATATTTTCTTCTAAGCTACTTTGCCTATCTAGTCACAAAACTTCTTGGGAAGTCAGAGGTATATGGACACCTGGTGCTCTAAATATTACAAATTCTATGGTATGATGATCATAAATTGAAATCAAATGTACCAAAAAGAAGAAGAAAAAAATAAGGATAATGATGAAGAGAAGAGGGGTGAGGGGGAGCAGGTGAAGAAGAAGATAAATAAAAAAGAAGAACAAAGGAGGAGGAAAAGGAGAAGAGGAGGGGAAGGAGGAAGAGGAGGAGGAAGAGGAGGAGGGGAAGGAGGAAGAGGAGGGGGAGGAGGGGAAGGAGAAAGAGGAGAAGGAGGAGGAGGGGAAGGAGGAAGAGGAGGAGGGGGAGGAGGGGAAGGAGGAAGAGGAGAAGGAGGAGGAGGGGAAGGAGGAAGAGGAGAAGGAGGAGGGGAAGGAGGAAGAGGAGAAGGAGGAAGAGGAGGAGGAGGAAGAGGAGGAGGGGAAGGAGGAAGAAAGGAAGATGGAGGGAAAGGAGAAGGAAAAAAAAGGAGAGGAAGAAAAGAAGGAGGAGGAGGAGGATAAGCAGGAAGAGGAGGACAAATTGTAAGAACAATATCATCACATAGCCTGATAGGGCAATGAACTTGGCCTTTGCACGATAGAGCAAACTTTTTATGGATTATTCAAATATACACTGTGATGTTGACTTTTGCTGGGTGTATTTAACGCAACATGCCAACGACTTAAACAAGCTATTATCACATCAGATCAGTTTCTCACACACCTAATAACATCAACTTGTTTTTTCAGCTTTTCATACTTGTCAATCAACCCGGCATGTTTATATAAAACTATAAAACTAACAATGTGTTACACATGATGGTGAGAGAGAATGTTTAAAGGAACATGGGCCACCTTAGCAATGTAGAATAAAATATACTGAAATAAATCTGAAGAAATTTTAAAATGTTATAAGAGAGACCAATCACTATGGGAATAAAATGGGAAGATATGACATAGAAGAGCTGCATTAACATTGCATTTTACTACTGCTATTTTACCAGGTGAAGATAAGTGTTACTGGCTAGGGCGATTCATTTGCTCCTAATAATAAAATGATTACAAAAAGAGAAGGCTCCAAATTCAGTTTTTTTTATGGCAAATTTTGTTTTCACTCTTCCAACGAGAGCAGGGCTCGACACTAACAAGCAACCCAGAATCTAAGTCCGGACTCTCAAAAGTTCAAATTTTGTACCTAGGAATCTAGCACACACACACTAAAAAGTTCAATCTGGACTGCCCGAGTGTGTTACTATGGAGTCACCGATTAAAGTGAAAAGAATGATAATTTGAGAGCTCTTTAACAATCAAGTCATTGGAAGATTGTACTACTTAGTACCATGCCATTACATGCACTCGATAACACCCTACCAAGAGTTGGGGGCAAGTTCAACAGATAAAACACTCTTGACTAGACTTTGAACCACCCACACGCACACACCCATAAGTATATTATAACGGTACAGTATTATTTTAATATGTTAGATGGTCTTCTACCATGGTTTTAATGTGAAAATGAAATCCAATTATCCTATTTTTTCCTTTCTTCAATAGACTACTCCTTTTGTGCAGGCTTGCCTTGAGAAGACCGGAAAATTTAAGTTGTCTCAACATTAGTATTTTAATGAACACTTCTAGAATAAACCCCTTCTTAGATTATCAATGAGTTGATAAACATTATGGCCCAAATTCACAAAGGAGGTTTGTCGACAAACCTAGGTTTATGTGTTTGTTCATAGTTCGAAACGCGTCGAAACGCATCATATGACAAATCTCCTTTGTGAATTCAGGCCTTTATGTACCAAATTGTAAAACCCACTGAGACAAAGACATGCTCATGACATTTATGTAATCATTATTCATTTACCCACCAGCATTGCTTTCCATAATACAAACGATAGACAAATTCGCAGTGAGGACACTGCACACATGATGCAAGTGCATTTACCCACTGATATATGAATTATGGAGAGGTCCCACTTTGTGCATGTTAGAAAATCACTTTATGAACGGGCTTTTGGGAACATTTACTCTGTGTTACTCTGTGTTACTCTGTGTTAAAGAAACAAGTTAACATCATCTAAACAGATGCTATCATAGATTTAAAGAAGATAGATGACCTATTTCTACTCGATATGAATAAACTATGACAGAAAACCAACCTCGCATTCCCGCACACTTGTGGGAGTATCAGGATATTCTATCTGACTGCCTGGCGATGAGGCCGCACCTGCAATATTCATGGAAAATCACAGAAAGAAGGAAGGAAAAAAAGAAAAATGGGAGGAAAATAACAGAAAAGAACATTATACAAGAGGCACTAAGGCAGACGGCATGCATGTATGAATGTTATCATACAAGGGGGTTTAGCAAAAAGTAACGCAAGGAAACCGTGGAGGTCTGATATGTATGGAGTATTTGATTTATGAACCTTAGAAGAAAATACAGAATGATTGAATCGAGCTGGGAAATGTTCTAGAATTGTTTTCCATCATGTAAGGTAATGTTTGTAAAGGGTATTCAGTTCATGAGGTGTAAAAAATGGAAATAGTTGTGTGAAAAATGTCAGAAATTATGTTAACGTTGGCTTTTTTAGTTCCTGAAAAGCAATAAAAAGTATATCAATCTGAAATTTAAGGTATGTTTTTAAGAAGGTATAATTTTCCTGTTGATGCAAAAAAGATATTTGGTTAGTGGGTTTTAAACCTGTGAAGATGAACAATTTAGAGAAGCATAGAGACATGTGATTGTCCTTAAAAGGCTCACAGCAAACTTACTGTACGGTGATGAGAGAACTTTGCAAGTACTTGGGTCACCCAATCTAAGTTGGTTTATGACGGCTCTCCTTAATATTTCATTTTCTTTTTCTGTGATGCATTCTTTTGTCTTGGATGAGTCAGAAAATATGGAATGCTTCAAGATTTTGGATGTTTTTTCTGTTATGCTTAGGAATCAGTGCAAAATCATGAGTCTGTATGACATAAAGGATAATTTTATCATTTATTTCTAATTTTTATGATCAATCACTGTTTTGTCAATTTAAAATCTGATTCAGATGTGATCTATTATTTGGTAAAATTGATTGAACAGAAGCAAGCCAATTTTTTTTCACGCTACAACCTTTTGATGCAGCTATGAGATGGAAAAACAGCAGCATTCTAAAAATTTTGATCAAATATTAACTACTGTCCATCTCATTTGCTTGGCTGTAAAATATAATATTTCCTTGCTGTAATTTCACCCAAAAAATATTTTAAAAGCTCTCCCACCACTTGCAGACTGTGATAAAACAAAGTAAGTACCACGGCGTTGATACTACGCCGCGGCTATACTTGCCGCAGTGCGAACATTTCAACGATATACATCTTGCAAATAAATCGGGGAAGCATTGAATGCGGCCCAGAGCGAGGGATGGCAAAGCGAGGGCCTGACTGGACCAGTGTCGGTTTCCCCACATCGCTGCCCGTACTTACGAAGGGAGGACCGCCCCCTCTCGCTCATTTTTGTTTAGTTTTACTCACTAGATGCTGCGGAAGCCTGCCGAGACGACGGGACTGAAATGGTGAGATCACGGTCGTAGGAGGGGCTACGCAAGCCAGGCTCTTTCACATCGGACTATAGATCATAAAACATACATCACAATAGAAGGGGGAAGGACAATACCTGGTATTAGTCTCACGAGAAAGGGAGGGTGCGTCAAGGGGACCACAGCCACGCCCTTTACTCTATCGTCCTACCTCCCCCTGGAGGTTGGTGGGATTTTCAAAGGAGGGAGGAATCTGAGCAGAATCGGTTTATGGATGAAAAACTAATTTATACCAAACTTTAAACTCATCCGTGCAGGTTTTGTCTAGTCTTGATGAACCTTTGAACTTTCATCTAGAATGCAAGTAAGCAGATCTCACTGCATATAACTTATCTACCCCCCAAGTCACAACGTTGAGATTTGATATTGAAGTTTAATGTCATTTCATATTCATTCAACGGGATATCTCAGAATGGTTGTCATGAAAAGTGTGGTTCAAACTGAACAGAATATTAAAGAGATGTATCGTTAACAAGTACCCAAACAAAACTGCTCACATCAATTCCTTCCTCCGTTTCCGTAACCTACAGAATTATGCACCTTTTGTATGAGAAAGGTGTAATGTTTTCAGAGTTGGGGAAGGCCATGATCCCTGTTTACAACTACTTACCCCATAGTCTTACCACAGAGAGAAACAAATCCCCTTCTGTTTGATTAAATACCACCAACTCAACTCTCTCATGCTTTACGCCATCGAGGCTTGTCTCTCATGTGTAAAAAAAGAAAAAAAATGAGAATCTCGAAACAAAAAATTAAAAAGATTGAAGTGAATTATCCATCTGCTCGAGGCAGAGTTGAAACAAAGACACGGCCCTGATGGAATGTTTCTTGTAATGAAATTTAATCTTTTATAAATGTAATGCTTCCTGGGAGAAATTTCAATTATTTAAACATAGTTGTGGCTTACACCCAGTAAATAAGATCGATTGATCGATCTGTATTGAAAAACAAGTCAGAAAAAACCTGCCCGGCAAGCAGTAGATGCAGGTTCAAGTCCCGCTGGTTCCAAGATTTTTTTTCTGACTTGTTTTTCAATACAGATCGATCAATCGATCTTATTTACTGGGTGTAAGCCACAAATATGTTTAAATAAATTTAATCTTGTTATAAAATTAAATCTCCTCTCCAATGCCTCCCATAGACTAGTAATACTAATTATATCTCTATCCTCGCAAATACTGTGTACGTGAAAAGTAATCCTAACGTCTTTTCAAAAGTCTAACTTAACATTGCCAGTAATGACACATTATTCTAGGATGTGTCTAACATTGTAAGTTTATTACAGTCTATTCTCAATCAAGAATTAGTCTATGTCTGATTTTTCTCAAGGATGTTCTTGCATCTAACTTGCCAAACATTTTATTCTACCTTATATTTTTCTAAGAGGGCTTGCAACAGAGAGCAACATGAACTAATTTTTCCTTGTGCCAATATTCTTTAGATATACTTTAATCAAGCACTTCCAAATGTATGCTAACTGCTTCATGAAAACCAAAATATACTTCTGAGAGACGCTAAACCACTATCTCTTGGTCTTCATGATGAATTTACAATTTTAAGAAAGAAAACTTGTTTGTCAAATACCGTAAGGGCAATATAAGTTATGTCTTTGAAATCTTACGAAAGTTTCATACTGCTCTCTGCGCCTGCAACTCTTATTTCCTAATGGGGGGACAAAAATGGCCGACCCAAGGGTATTTCCCTTGAGGGTCGAGTCCATCTCTCTGCAGCTTCACACTACCTACCTTCCCCTGTAGTGCAGCTTGGAGTGAATCCTGGAAGTGGCCTGGCATACCAGCGTAGCTAGCCCTCGGGCTATTAGCCCTGCTGCTAGCCCTGCTGTTGCTTCGGCTGCTGGGGCGGCTGTTAGGACGACTGTTGGCTCGGCTGTTGGCCTTGCTGTTACTCCTGCTGTTGCTCTTGCTGCTGTAGTCGACTTCTGCTGGGAGAGGGTGGGAGAAAATTTGCGGTCCCAGAAAACGATTTAAAGGACGATGTTTCCTAAAGTTTACCATGTGAATGGGTTAACTGAAAGCCAAGATTAAATGAGAGGTTTTCTTGCTGCTGTAGTCGACTTCTGCTGGGAGGGGGTGGGAGAAAATTTGCAGTCCCAGAAAATGATTTAAAGGACGGGTTTCAAAAGTTTACCAAGTGAAGTAGGCGTTGTGGCGTGCGCCTGTAACCCAGCTAACACAGGACACAGGTTCGAAACTGAGTCACGTCTTTCGGATGGTGATGTTTAAAGGTCGGTCCCCATATGTAAATAATCATATGTGATTGATACACGTCTGTAAGAACCCAATACACACACACACACATATTTACCATGTGAATTGGTTAACTGAAAGCCAAGATTAAATAAAAATTCTCTTTGATATTCAAAACTGATTACATGCTCTTTGCTTTAAAAAGTTAAGTTCTTTGTGGCATATTCTCAAAGCCTAGCATTATATATTAACTTTTTGTTCATGCAGATCTTAAGCGTAATATGAAAGTACACGTCTTCAATAATTCTCTAAAAGCTTGAAGGGCATCTACAGTGAGAGCAATTAATTCAAATTCAAATTCATTATTGTCTCTTTACACATCTATAAATATGTGCCTCTTTTTATTTAAAGGTACTATGTCCCATTTGCAGGCCAAACAAATGAAAAAGTTAAATTCCAACTGCATTTGAAAGATAATACTCATTTAGAACTTCCCTAAAAAAGGTGGGGCTTGAAAATGTCTTCACTGCTAACGTTTAAATTTCACAGATAGGACATACATGACATATTCATAATTCCTGCAAAGTTCTACAGCATTTGAGGTTGGCTGCAAAAGGGACATAGTACCTTTAACCTCGATGCACCACCACTGAGGCATGTTCAAGACCTTATACTTGCTATCCAAAGTTGAATGAATGTAATAAAAACTTTAACAAAATCATGTGTGGAACAAATGAAAAGAGAGAAAATAAATATGTCAACCCTTTGGTGACTCTTTCAAATCAAACCTCTTTTAGGTTGGCAATAGGCGTTCAATCCGGACACTCCCACAACAGACGAACTAGGAAACTGCTCATAGTCCATCAGCTCTTCCCGCGGGTGTGGTGATGTCACGTGATGGGGCTGTGGAGACCTTTCTGAATGATGCTGAGGTAATACCACTGAATACTGTTGCGGGGGCGCCACGGAATGCTGTTGGGGCGATGCCGCGGAATGCTGCTGGGGCGACGGGACCTGATGGTGACCAGGCGACGCGACCTGATGGTGACTGGGAGATGCCACCTGATGATGTCCTGGAGATGCCACCTGATGATGGGGATGATGCGGTTGCCCTGACGACATGCTCCCACCATATGAACTATGACCTAAGACTGTACTCTGGTCCATGTGTGCCATAGGGTCCATGGTGCGGGACAGCTCTCTCTGAATCTGCTGGTAGGTGAGGAACGTGGGTTCAGCCAGAGAGGTCTTCAGCTGGCTGGTGATGTCCACGCTGCTCTGGCTGCTGGTGGGGGCCCAGGTGGTAGTCCTTAGAGGATGGGCAAACTGTGCGGTCCAGTCAGGGGGGAGCTTGGAAGGGGAGGTGGTGATGTGACCGGAGAGGAGGCCAATGGCTTCGTTGATGACGCCCATCGTTGAGATGGGACCTTGGTTCATCGTTACACTCTGGGTACAACCTGGGGGAGAGGTGGGCGTAGGGCTATGTGCTCCAAGTTTAGTGTAAGTAAAACCCTAAAAAAAGGAACAGAAAAGAGACAAGGAAAAGGATATCATTTGCCAATTAAAAAAAAGACAACAGACCGAACAAATACATACATTGGTTTCCACTTACCATTTCAACTTTCAAATGGGTGTCCCATGATTTTACAGAGGGGATTTCAAATATATATGCTTACAAATATTCAGCATTGGAAGGCCAAAGACTCATGATATCATTTGCTTATTAAGAATGGACATTAACAGAACAAACAAATACATACAGTGGTTTCCATTTACCATTTCAACTTTCAAATGGGTGTCCTATGATTTTACAGAGGGGATTTCAAATAAATATGCTAACACATCATGTAGTAATTAATGATCAATGAATAATTTTTTTCAACTTTACTTTATTGTGAATTTCATATCTAAGACACATACAGTGAAACCTGTCTATAGCAATCACCCGAGGGAAACACAAAGAGTGGCCTTTGTAGACAGGTGGTCTTTGTAGACAGGTTTCTTTAGTACATGATTCAATGAGAAACCATTTTCAAGGGAAACAACAAATGTGGTCTTTGAAGACAGGTGGTAACTAAAGCAGGTTTGACTGTAAGAGTGCAATCTAACCTACCCAAGCCCTACCTGATTACTGGCCACCGAGGAGGTTGGTTGAGCCGACGCCCTTTGCTGCTGATAGGACGTACAGGTAGTCGCCATCGGCAAGGACTGCTGGGGTGAAAGCTGTCCCCCTCTACCACTGCTCCCACTACCTGTGCTGCTGGTCACACCCTGCATCTGGGTCAGGTTCGGCAGCTGCATGTTGCTCCTGCTGGTGGTGGTGGTCAGACCGGGGTTTTGTCCGGTGGTGGTCAGACTGGGGATCTGTCCAGACGCCTGTCCTGCAGCCTGGCTGTACGTCTGGTACATAGGCGGCGCGGAGAAGTCGGAGAGGGACACGCTGCTGACCATGGGGTCGTACCCGCAGGAGACGATGGTGGGTGGGGCCGCGGCGAAGGTCACGCTGCGCTGCTGGTTGAACACCTGCTTGGTCGGGGTGTTGCCACTGTTCGCAATGATGGGTTGGGCCATGGGAAAGCCATTGAACAAATTCTGCAGGAAAGGGAATTTATGGGTATAGGACATTTTTATTCATATATACAAGTCAATATAGCATAAATAATAATATAATCTTTAGGCACTGTAACAACTTGCTTGGTGTTGCCACTGTTCGCAGTGATGGCCATGGGGAAGCCATTGCACAAATTCTGCAGGAAAGGGAATTTACCTGTTGAGCACATTTTATTCATATACAAGCCAACATAGCATAAATAATAATGTAATCTTTAGGCACTGCAACAACTTGCTTAGTGTTGCCACTGTTCGCAGTGATGGCCATGGGAAAGCCATTGCACAAATTCTGCAGGAAAGGGAATTTACCTGTTGAGCACATTTTATTCATATACAAGCCACCATAGCATAAAAATTGATGAAATCTTTAGGCACTGCAACAACTTGCTTAGTGTTGCCACTGTTCGCAGTGATGGCAATGGGAAAGCTATTGAACAAATTCTGCAGGAAAGGGAATTTACATGTTAAGCACATTTTATTCAAATACAAGCCAATATAGCATAAATAATAATGCAATCTTTAGGCCCTGCAACAACAGATGTGTAAGGCGGACTGGGATGGGTAGCATGACACAACATTGCAGCTCTACCCAAAATTAACCCTCTGAATACTGAATACCTCCCATTCCCATAGAGTTCAGACAGGGACCACCCAGTTCCACCCAGGCAATGTGTTAATGATATCAGCTGGAGTGCCATCCTCACGTTTTTAAATGAGACAAATGTGTCTTTAATAGGTACTGCATTTAAACGACTGATTTACTGTTACGGCAAGTGATTTGACGTTCCACATGTTACCAAGAATACAGAGAACTAAAGAAATAGCAACATCACAAACTGTGTCTATTTACTTGTTATGGGTCTAATTTGGAGGTGTTGTGGTCTAGTGGAAACATTGCCGGACTGTGGATCACAGGTTTGCAGTTCGAATTCTCTTTAAAGGTAATACAAAGTTTTGGTATGGGGTCATGAATTTGGTTCAAATTAACATATTGGAAGCATATGCGATCCAACAATATTCAGTGATCGTTGTCGCGGTTGTCTAAAGCAAGTCTAAAGTTATGAAATTGTAAATAATTAACTCTTTATGTTGTATAGCTCCCTCTCAAGGTCAAGATATTAATTATGCCATAAAACAATGTTTCTTGACTAAAATCGACCGATTAGCTATTCCCGTTTCGAATTATATACCACAACTACATATTCTGAGAATTTCATGGTCACAGCTACCATTGTACGGCCGTAGCCGCTATTTGAAATTTATAAAAATTTACCGGGAGCACCGGTAAATATTTATATTCAATTTTTCTCGAAAACAGAAGGGTTTGAGGGGCTAAATTTTATAGTGCTTATAATACATCCACAGGGGTATCCAAATATATCAAAATTGTAAAGAATCACCATCAACCCAATTTTCAAAATTTCCCGAAACTTTGTATTACCTTTAATGCTTGAGTGCCATAATGGCAGCCATGATAAAGCCAGGGTAATAATTGTGAAGTGCTAGGAGTATCACCAAGTTTGGAAAAGGGGGTTGGAGGGTAGGGGTAGGGAGGGGTATCATTGTTTGTAACCTTAGTTGGGGACTGTTATCTCCATGGCTTTAAAGAGTGACCCTAGAGAAGTGTCAGCAAGGAAGTTTGGTAGAGAGAATTAGAGGTAGGAGTAATACAATTAACTTTGGCCTCTACGGTTCCACCAAATGAAATTAAATAATTGTCAACAAAGAAGTTTGGCAGACAGAGGAGGAATTAGACCTACCTGCAAGGTCACTGACAGGTTATCTCATCAATTCAGCTTTCAATTAACATAAGAAAAAGAGGATCATGGGGGACCAACAGGCACCGATTAGGCATTGTTTGCTATATAGAGGGCGCAAGTAGCTATAAGTAGTGCAGTGGGGCTTTCATAGAATTGAATCAGCGACTCTAACCTTAGCTGTATCTGCAATCTCCATGGCTTCACTGAAGGACCCTAGAGAAGTGTCACCAAGGAAGTTTGGCGGTAGGCTGTAGTTGATCCCCAGGCTATCAGTCTCCTGCTTGGTTGGGGTCTTTCCCAAGATATCTGCTCGGAACCATGAGACAGGGGGCGTATTAAACCATGCAATACAACATACTTCCATAAAAGCCTGTCTTCATCAGCTCGAGATTGCCAAATAACCCGCTATTATAACTATCCCAATCGCAAATTATCCAGTTAATTTGCGCCTTCATCAACCAAGTTGCAATTAGCAGGATATTTGGTCAAGATGATCATCCCAAGATATCTTGGGCTAGTTTGCAAAATATCCCGCTATTTTTCAGCCCAAATACTCGCACTATGCGCGAAAGCTGAGCAAAATATCTCAAACTTATTTCTCGAGCTTGAGTTTCAAGTTTCAAGGTCAAGTCTCGAGCTGATGAAGACGCGATCTGTAACCTCTGGATTATTTCCCAAATCAGAAATAGCAGGCTATTTGGCAATCTCGAGATGATGAAGACAGGCCTACTGTTTCAAATATAAGACATTTTCCTGTTGAATGATTAACTCGGGCTTAGCATTCATTGGATTAGGACAAAAATCACTGGCTTTTAATACCAATTTCCAAATCTAACAGTTGGTCAACAGGTCTCGTTTGTGTTTGTGGAAAGAATAAAACTGCCGGTTACAGACAGATTGTAACACTAGATCTGTATTAAAATAAAGTGTACCCAACTTTGGTAGCTTCTAATTTATTTATTTAATTCTGATATTTATACAGGGTGGCACATATCACCAATTTGGTGGCCTTCCATGAGGCCCTGTTTGGTAGAATAAAACAAATAACAGCAGCAAAAACAAAATGGATAAATAACAAGTTATATGAACCTATGTGACCTTGAATCATATGTTATTGTAAAGGAAAACTAATATCCTGTCTAATGATACCATTTTCATATTTGTGCTGCCAAGGATGTCTGAACAGCAGGCTTTTCAAACAGTATTGTCAAAATCATCTTGTACCAAGTTTGGGCTAAAGCAATGAATGTGGTCAAAAGCCAGTATCTCATTCCAAAAACAATTGCTCATTCATTTACAATGACTATTAGGCAGTTGAAAAAAGGTGTTAATATCAATTCAAACTCAAAGAAATGCTTACTGGAAGCAAAATGTATGATAATCTCTTCGTTATCAAAGATGCCAGCCTCTTGACACCCAAAAACAGACCGAATATCCTTTATTAAAAAATATATAAAAAAATCAAAATCAAAATTTAAAAAAAAATAAATAAATAAAAAAAAAAAAATCAAAAATCAGATTTTCATGAAAACTTGACACTACCACTGGAAATGTCAGAAATATGCTTTCTTTAAAAGTAAGAAAATAAAAAGTTTGCTGTTTCATTAACATTTAATGTGAAAATAAAACGGGCCCTGTCGGATGATCTAGTCTGGTGTCCAGACTCCCTACATACCTTGAAGAGAATCCAGGGTTTCCATGAAATCTTCATCAAAGTCTGGGTCCAGCTGCATGAGACCAGGCTGGATGATGTCACTGTTATATACATGACGAGCTGATGAAAACAAATTAAGGCAAACAAAAGAGTTAAAGATAAAAATATCTGCTTGCACGACGATGTCACTGCATAACACCAGGTTTGATGATGTCACTGTTATATACATGATGAGCTAATGGAAAGAGATTCACAGATAACAAAAAGAGTTAAAGATAAACATATCTGCTTGCAAGATGATGTCACTGCACGAGACCAGGTTCGATGATATTTAAATGCTATTCTTTGTTTTTAGCTTTTATCATTTTCTCTTCTATCTTCCTTTATGTTTTTCTTTGTTTTATCTTTCAATCATGTTCTCTTTTACCTTCCCTTATTTTATTCGTTGTTGTATGCCATTGTTTTTTCTCTGTGTCTTTTCTTATATTATTCTTTCTTTTTATTCTCCTATTATTTTCTTTTTTACATTTCCATATGCAATTTTGTAATTCCTTCTATTTTTTTTCTCCATCTTTACTTATGTTATCCAATCCAATCCATCCAATCCAAAAGATATTTGATATAGCGCCTTTTCCTTGCAGTTACAAAGCGCTGTTATCATTTGTTTGGCGGTGCATTAGTTTTAATGGTACACATATAATTGCCTCTTGCCACAATTTCTTTCGTTCCATAATAAAAAAAAACTTACTGATCTTCTTGGGCGCCGGGACGGTGAAGTGCTTCTTCTCGGTGCTGATGAAGAGGGTGTCAGAGAAATCTTTGAGGGTGTCATCGTTCTTCAGCTTCTGGGCGGACATGGGGGAGAGGGGCGGGTGGGGCGTGTCCAAGTTGATGGCATTGTCTTCTGCTGTCCTGTGAGCACTGTCCCCCTGGAACAGTGACAAAGTTGAAAACATTGAGACAGGTTAAATATCTTATGAATACCTTATACTTATACTTTCAAAATGATATAAAAATTTCTTGATGATGATGCCACAACATTGTCTAAGTTTGTTGACCCGAAATGACCTTTGACCTTAACTTAGTGACCTGAAATTCTCCAAACATGATTCGGGAAAATTGATAACCCTTTAGTCCAAGTTTCATTGAATAAGAACTTTTATACTTTCAAAATTATATCAAAAATTAAAATACTTAACCTCAGGTTAAGATTTTGATGATGATGCCACAACATAGTCTATGTTTGTTGACCTGAAAAGTGGTGCCTATGTCTTGCTTTTGCTATGCAGGCAAGACAAAAATGTCTTTTCATCAAAATAATGAGAATTTTGTATAGGTGCCTGGAAATTTGGTTTCTTTATGTATGTTTAGGTCAATGAGAAGCATTGTTGGAGCACTGATGCACAAAAGGAGCCAAATTAAATACATGAATGCACTACTTCGGAAAGCATCCTCGACATCTATTGGACTGGATGGGAATGAAAATATCCTTGACATCTATTGTACTCTATGAATATGAATCGTATCAAATTACTACCACAGATTCCTTTCAAACTTTTGATCTGGAGTAAATGTACATGTAGATTTGTTTTGAGAATGGATATTCTTTTCTGTTTATATGTATCCTTGATCATTGTAAACACACACATTTCAGCTTTTTAGCTACGGCATGTGCATCATTGTACTCTATGTTTTTTGAAATACATGTAAAACCTTGAATTGAATTGAATTGAATTGAACTACTACTAGTAATACTAATAAACTAGAGTAAACATCCTCGACATCTATTGAACTGGATGGGAATGAAAATATCCTTGACATCTATTATAATGGATGCATATGAATCGTATCAAATTACTACCACAGATTTCTTGCAAACTTTTGATCTGGAATAAACTACTATTAAATAGTAATACTAATAAGCTAGAGAACCCCCCCCCCCCCTCCATTCCCAACCCACCACCAAACTGGGAGGTTGTAAACAATGGCATATCCAGGAATTTTTAAGGGGAGGTATTTTTTTTGCCCAATTTGTGAGCCAGTGAATAAGCAGGGGGGCGGGGGCGGGGGGCAAAGAAAAAACACAGATAAAGGGTGTCTTTAAAAATTATAAAATTTGAACACCTACAACACCCCCCTTAAAGATAAAGTTGAGTTCTGGTCTTGTGACTACATTGTGAAAGACAAAATGTGGAATGGATCAGAAAAAGTTGATCATGTAGCATGTAAATATTGATGTGTACTGCAAGGCTCTGAAGTCATCAAAATCACAATAAATTTGGCCCAGTCTTGGTAGAGTAACAAGCACTGTACACAGAAAGATGTATATGGGACTACACAAATGGTGTCAGGGCTACTAACCTTGATTTCCCTATCTTTCTATGCTCATTACTCAGCCAGTATACATTTTCTACCAAAATTGTTTGGCAAATGATATTTATTGTAATCTTGAACATTCAGTGCAAGTTTTGTTTGATTCTGTGAGAATTTTAATTTCTTTTTTCTTTTTTTACCAGAACTCAAATTTATCTTTAAATACGCCCTTGGTTGTGAACGTGCCTACTGGTTAGCATGTAATCGCGCAGACATGCACGCATCTGATGAAGTTTACCTTGACTTCTTAATGCACCCGAGGATATATAGGACACAGCAGGCAACCCAAGACAGTAATCAAAGACATGTCTAATGATGTCATAGCCAGCTTCTAGTCTATGCCATACACCCAACATTATTTATACTATACACCCAGCACGATTTATACTATACACTTAATATGATTTATAGAACCCCTTGGAATCTACTGGCCCTACATATTAGGTATAGCATCTAGTTGCCAGCAGGTTTGGCCGGTATTAAAGCCAAAGACCAGTTATGGTCATGCGATTGCATTGTGGAAGATCATCTAGCATATAAGTATTGGTGTGTACTGCAAGGTTCTGGAATCATCAAAATGATAAGAAATTTGGCCCAGTCTTCGTAAAGTTACAAGCACCGTACACAGAAAGATGTATATGGGACTATACACACACATGCGCGACACGTGCGTTTATCTCTCACAGACCATGTAGATAAACTAATTTACCAAATATATCAATAAGTAGGCAGTTTCCAGGCAAAAATTTTATCATCATGTATTATTCAAAACATATTCTTTCACATGATTGGTAATACGAGCTTCCATTTCATTTTTTGAAATTGGGGCGTTTCCAAAATTGGACTTTACCTTTAAGTACCTGGGCAGGAAATATTGGACATTTTACGAAAACAGGAAATACAGTGAAATACTGGGAATTACTCCAAAAACAATATTTTAAACGATAAAAACCCTTAGGATGTTTAGATTATTGAGTAAGAGTCATTATCAAACACCAAAACACAATATTAGAAACCCATGAAGTTAATGAAAATAATAACTAAGAAACATTTTGTAAGTGTAATTGATGGAATTTAGTCATATTGCTATGTTTGCTATTTCACATTATACAATTTCAATGCAGGGAAAAATATGTTTAATACAAATTTCGGGGCTACTTTTCAAGCTTGCTTGCATTAAAATTACCACCTTTAATTGGTTTTGCATTGAACTCTATGCAGTTTTGTTTTTTGTTTTTTTTGTTTTTTGTTTTTGTTTTGTTTTTTTTTTGGGGGGGGGGCTCTTTCATGACTTTCGGGGGCTTTTTTTGGCATTTCAGGGGCTAATCCACCCCATACTTTTTTCCTGTTTCAATGGTACACATGAGTTTTTCCCAGGAAATTGTCAACCCTGGTATGGTGGCTAGTGTCAATCAGGCTTCTGCTGTTTATAAAGGTACAATGAATGCATGTCTGGCATGTGAGCGGGACCTTGACAAAAAAAACAACAACCCCAGTTTGTTACTTTTCACCGAATGATGGATTGTAATTTGTTGTACTGTATAACCTCAGGATTCACATTGGATCAGGCGTTATCAATGCATGGTTTTTAATAAAAAGGAGGCGAGGTTCGTTTCCCAAACAAGGTACATTGTATTCAAGAAATCCTCATTGTTAACGTGCTGAAAAGAGCGATAATAATTCTTCTATCTTTTGTGATAGAGCAAAGGTATGCTTTGTGATTGATTTATTAATAGGATTGGTGAAACTTGCCATCTAGACAATTTTCACTTTCAAGCGTCACCCGCCCAGACGGCACCCACCTCCCTGTTCATACATGTAGGTCCCAGCATTAAATGGAAATACAAAACACAATCATCCCATTGAAAATTGAATAGCAGGAGGCGCCTCACAAAATCCTCAAAGAACAAACTATAATGAAGAAATATAAGCGGCTAATAAGCGTTTTATATCATCATCAACATTCGTTTGGGCAATATCATACGAGAGATGTCTATAGAGCTTGGTCCCTCCTGTGTAAGGACAGAGTTTCTCCCTGGCACACTTTTGTAACAATAATTCAACACGTAGACAACTTTAAAGTGCTTGAGAGACATTATTAAAGGAAGAGGTTCCGACAACTACTAACAGACTCCCATTGTGTACAGATTTGTTGTATCTTCGAGTGATTAAAACAAAAAATCTACCTTCACTTTCAATTTGGTATAATAATTTATTCTGCATTTTATTGAAAACTTAGCACTTTTTTTAGTTCAAGGTTTAATCATCCCTACCAATGTTGTCCATATTGAATCTATTAGTTTCTTCTCCAGTTTATTTCTCCCTTAACCCATTTTTTAATTATTCTTATTTATAAAAAATGGCTCTACTCTTTAAAAACTTTTTTCCTGTTACAATATTTGAGCACTTTTTTTGTTTCATTATTCCTACCTCACCTTTTTCAATTATTAGGCCCCTAATATTATCTGTCCACTGGGAAAGTTATGAATGCTAATGACTTTTCATATTAGCACCTTTAAATCGAGTCAAAAACACCAACAAGGTTACATTGAATATGTTATATAATAGGTATTGAACCTAATGACTGTTAATCACGATATAATAATGACAGGGCAAGAGATCCCATGGCTTGAAACAAACATGATGTCATGAGAACAATAGGCCTGTTTTCATCAGCTCGAGATTGCCAAATAACTAGCTATTTTAACTATCCCGATCGCAAATTACCCAGTTAATTTGCGTCTTCATCAGCCCAAAGTTGCTATTGGCGGGATATTTGGTCGAGATAATCATCCCAAGATATCTTGGGCTAGTTTGCAAAATATCCTGCTATTTGTCCATTGCGTCTTCGCCAGCTCGGAAAATATCTTGAGCTAATTTCTCGAGCTCGAGTTTCAAGTTTCGAGGTCAAGTCTCGAGCTGATGAAGACGTGATTTGTAACTTTGGGCTTATTTCCCAAATCAGAAAAAGCGGGCTATTTGGCAAACTCGAGCTGATGGAGACAGGCCTAATGAGAATAGCAGGCATGAACGCATCATTGATGGATAGAAGGAAAGCCATGCCTGCAAGCAAGACTAAACAAGATGTCATGTACATACCATGGATGTCACCGAGAGCATAACAAACAAAGTATTTAATTTGTAACCTGACAGTTACATTGCATTCATGTAGGGGGTGTAATCTATCTATCTGCTCTCTGACATCACAGTGGAGTAATCGATACCTCTGCCCAATTGTGCCCCAGTTTCAAAGGCTCACATTATTTGTAGTGTAAGGTCTGAATAATCTGTGCATTAGACTAGCATATAATGATAATAATAATAATTTAAAGCCCTCTACATTTAGTCTTTCCCTTCTTTTCATCTGTCTTTCCTGTTCTTTTCCCTCCCTTTTTACTTCTATTTTTGACCCCTCTATCTCTTCCTTTCTCTTCTCTATGACTTCTACCTGTCTTCTACCTGTCTTAAGTCTATTGGTTATATCAATCATTTTAATTATGACTCACATTTACTACGCAGGATCGCGTTTCAGTCTTTTAATCCTTGTAATATACTATTAAATAAATTTAATATAATATGTACAACGTATGATGCACTGAGCTTGAGAGCTATTGTAAACTAACATTTATATGGCATTCATCTATTTGTTTGGTCTTACACATCAGTTGCAAAATCGATTCATTTGTATCTGCCGAAAGTGCCCCCACTTTTCAGGTAAAGACCCTTTTGATTCAATGGGTCTGAAGTAACTGTGTTCTAGACTATCATACAACAGACCCATGTAAGGTAAATGTGAAGTCTGAAAAGTATTTAATTTAAAACCTGACAGCTTCATACATGTACTTACAGCTGCAATCTATGCCTGTGCTCCATAACATTACATATTTGACTAAACGTAGAACCAGGAACCTACATGTGCTAGAAAATTTAAAGAATTTAATAAGCAGTCTATAAATATGTGAGCGGCAAAAAAAAAGGTTCCCAGATGTTAACGTCTGACGCACCCCCCCCCCCCTCCTCCCCCTCCTCCTCAAAATTCTTGAGGAGCTCTGAATCGCACCCTTGATCTACTATCTCCTCCTAGCTCACCATAAATAAATCTCTGCCGAACACCCTCCATTTGTGATAGTCCCTGACAGCGGAGCCGAGCTGGGATGGATTCCATTGCTTGTTGATGGGTCGTCCCTGGATAACATCCGCCTGAGAACAGAAGAGGGGGGAAAGAATAACAGTGTGATGGATGATTGATGATGTTAGAGGCAGGAGGGTGTTAGATGAGGTTCCTACTTAGGCCAAATAACGAAAATAATGTGTTTTCTCGTCCGGACTTAAAAAAAGGAGGCAGGGCATTACTATTCACTATTTTGCTATTCTGGCCAAGCCTAATTATTCACAGATATTGTGCTACAGTGTATGTGAGTATACTGATGCAATGTAAGACAAAACAAATGATATGTATCACTTTAGAAGCTATTAAAACAAAATGTATATCGCAGGCTTTTTGGGGGGCTTTTCCCCCTGAATAGTAAAAAAAAGGAAGAGGTGGCGGCCAAAAAGAAGGTGGACGGGGACGAGAAACACTTCATTTCTTTATTTGGCCTTATACAAGAGGAATTTGTTTAATTAATTTGTAAATGTCAGTCAAAAGTCAAGTTAAAAGTCAAGTTGAACCTACATGTACAGTATGTTACAGGGGCAAGTCTGTGGTACATATCTTATTTGGTGATTAACTAGTTTGCAGGCACAAACCCTTGGTCAGTCGTAGTGCGTAATATTCTGTCTGAAAAAAGAGACTATGACAACAAAAGGTCTAGTGCACCCCAATAGGCTTTGTACTTACGCTGCTCCTAACCTATTTGATACAACCAGAGACTGACAGAGCTACTGTAGGCTCTGCTCAAGACTTTAAAGCCACCCTTAAAGTGTTGGGAGCCCCCTAAATTTCATGGCAAATTTCACTTGACTTGTATTATAATATGAAAGAGGATGTCATTTAAGACACGTTTCTACTTTCTGGGAGGATTTTTAAAACAAATGTGTTTGAAGTCGGATATTGATGAAAGAATACAAAATTTAGATTTTCTGCGTCCAACAGAAAACCCAAATTATATATTCTTACTACTAATCATGTCTTGAAAGATGGAAAGACCTACATGTTTATTAAAATGAATGAAGAAATTTACTCTAAACTGGTGGACTGGACATGCAATGTATACATGTACGTATGCATTTGCTGTAGACAAAGCTCAAATGCAATGAAACTTACACTGACACAGCAAGAGCTACATGTACATGATTATGCACATGCTAATATTATGAATAATTGCATAAACCGTAATTCCTACCACATATTGAGTTTGCTTTTATACTGGAGAACAAGAATCAACATATTTGCTTTTGATACAAATGCAAATAGCGATAAAAAATGCATTAAATTAGTAGTGCTGCAACCAGGAACTTCAGAATAACCTCAAAATGCAATGCCTTATTGACTACTTTTTAACGATGCCCAATACAGGTCCAGTAGTTGTACATGTTTATAGATGTTGACAATTGCTGTAATTATAGACTACATATAAAATGTACATGTACCTGTAAACAACAATAGTATCCATGCATGTACATGACTTTTTCGTCATAAGGGATGTATGGCATGTACATGTACATGTAAATATCAAAACAGTGAAAACACACCACAATGCAATGGAGAATGTTCCAGACTATTATTCATTTCAACAGTCTTTCAGAACAAGGGATCAATTTACCATAGAACTTCTCAAAGTTAATGCCTATAGAAGTCCTCTTTTTTGTTTAGGACCAATTTTGCATAAACAGTATACATGTACAAGTTGAAAAGGTCACATGAACATAGTACAAAACACAAGTTCATCTGATATTCTCCTCGACTTACATGATAAAATGAGCTGACAAACACTCTGGCTCACACTCTGTAAGGACCATCGTTCATATCAACAATCCTACCCTGCAATTTTTGTTTAAAGGGATCGGGTAACTTTGTCTTAGATCCTTTTTAAAAAAATCCTTGATTTAGCTCATGCTTCAATGATAATTATAAAACTTTAGGTTAGTCAGGAACCCCATGACTTTTACAAGCCGATCACCTGTCTGATTATCAAGATATTTATGATTGAATATCGAAATCAAATTTTGCGTTTGCCAAACGGTTTTCATAACACTACAGTCTAGTGGGGAAAACAAGTATGGTATTACCGGTCACTCATAGATTTTTACTTTTTTGAGGCACTTCTTGATCATTTTGAAGCGTAATTTTTTTTAAGGCTTCAATATAACACCATATCACAGACACTGATAACACGTAGGGCCGTGCATCTCAGATCCAACATTGTTAAACGATGCCTTTAAGTGTCTTTGGCATCCCGCCAATCCAGATTACATTGTTTTCTCTTGTGTTTTATCTTCATCATTTCTCTCCTTCTTATCTCTCAATATTCATACAATCTGATTCATATCCTTCAAATTGTTTATCCGAGGTCATGCAAATATTAAAGAGGTCATGTAAATAATACAGAGGTGAAGACAAAACAATCACAGCTTTGAACCCTATCTGGTACCTGATGGTACACACAATGACTGTTATTACTTGTTTTTGTATCTTGAAAAGACAAAAGAAATCTTTGTTATGATTTCTGGAATCACAGTTGACTACAATAGAAGACAGCTCAGTAAAGCCGACATTAAGCCCTCTGAAGTTCTAACTGAATAGGCACTCTAACATTAAGTGCATAGTTGTCCACGGTCCAATGCTATTAACAATTTACGTGAAGGGCATGGACGATTGCCTTCTCAGATAAAATCACACATGTTATGAGTTTCTCTGTGCTATATATACATGTAGGGCTGCTCTTGGGGATCTAATCTATACAGCTCTACACGTACAGGGTGTCCCTGAAATAAAGGGAACCCAAAGTTTACTAGTAAATTAGTTGAAAATTCCATTTTATTTTGAGGTATTTGCATGATTTAGAAGCTCTTTTTCTCTTCTTTCATAAAAAATTCATCAATATTAAAGTCAATAATGTTTAATTTCAGACAGCATGAAGTTGCAGTGTCAGAAATCCAATTGTCTAAAATAAAGTTGATGGCTGAAACGTCTGGTTTATTTTGGTTATGGAAAGATATTAAATGATTTTAAAATGACTACCGGTAAATACAAAACATTTCAAAGCTCATATTTTCTTCTCACATACTGTATATTATGAATCCATAGACATGATGGAGGGATGTCACATGACTGAGCAGGGAACATAATTTCTACCTGATTAGGCAAATTGACATTTTGTTGCAGAAAATTAATGAGGCAGCTGAAGACAAATAATGTCAAGAGGCCAATTATAACACATCCCAAACACCATTTTGAAAAATCGTTGATGTTGGCTCATACAATTGGGGTGAGCAGTATGCATGCGTGACTTGTCGCTACTCTGTGTGCGATCGCACAGAAGCGAGGAGAGTTAGGTGACAAAAAAAACTGCATCGTTGCAAAAATTAGTAAAAATTTTGGCGGCATTAAAAAAAAAACACTCTAAGGGTGGAATTTTCAATTTTTGTTTTTCGCCGTGTTTGCCGGTATCGACCGACGAAACATTGGAATGTGAAGAAAAAAATCAGATATTTGCTTGTTGTGTAAATGCAGCTCATGTGCCTAACCAATAACAGATTGTGTCTGCTCACTCAGTCATGCATGATCCTTCCATCATGATCATGGTATTATGTGAAAGAATATGAGCTTTCAAATGTGTCTTTCAGAGCTTTTAAAGGCCCACTGCACTACTTGTAGCTACTTGCGCCCTCTATATAACAATCCATGCCTAATCGGTGACCATTGGTCCCCCATGATCCTCTTTTTCTTATGTTAACTGAGAGCTAAGTTGATGAGATAACCACCTGTCCAGTGACCTTGCAGGGCAGTCTAATCCCTCCTGTAAACTATGGCAGATACGCTTTAAAAATCTCAAATCATTTCCTTTTCCTTAGAGACCGTAATGAACTAAATGATACAGCCATTTGCTCATTTTGGTTATATGACAGGGCCACTTCAGTCTGATTGAAATTGGTCATGCTTGATGTGTTGAACATATTTTTTTATATGAAAGAAGAGAAATCAAGTTTTTAAATGATTCATACATTGATAAAAACATAATTTGGGATTATTGAGTAATTTATCATCAAACTTTGTTTGTTTTCTCAGGGACATGCCTCTACAAACATGTAGGTGTAAAAAGTTGGTTCTAGTAGGAAGAAGAGTACGGTAGATAGAAGATAACCAGTCATCGCAGAAATGAAGATGGCAGAAAGAACGAAAAAAAGTTATAGAGAGAAAGAAAGGATAATAATTGTGAGAGGGGAAACATGAAGAGAAATTTGATTAAGTGCAGGAACAGAAAAAGAGAGGATAGCAGAGAGACAGAAAGAGAGAGAGAGAGAGAGAGAGAGAGAGAGAGAGAGACGGGGGGGGGGGGGGGGGGGAGGAAAGAAGAAGAGAAGCGAAAGTTAAAGGTAATACAAAGTTTTGGTATGGGGTCATGAATTTGGTTTAAATGAACAAATTTGAAGCATATGCGATCCTACAATATTCAGTGATCGTTGTCACGGTTGAAATCGAGTCTGAAGTTATGAAATTGTAAATAATACACTCTTTATGTTGTATAGCTCCCTCTCAAGGTCAAGATATTAATTAAGTTATAAAACAATGTATCTTGACTAATATCGACCGATTAGCTATTACCGTTTGGAAATTATATATCACAACTACATATTCTGAGATTGTCATGGTCGCAGCTACCATTGTACGGCCGTACATGTAGGCCCTATTTGAAATTTATCAAAATTTACCGGGAGCACCGGTAAATTTTTATATTCAATATTTCTCGAAAGTCGAAGTGTTTTAGGGGCTGAATTTTCTAGTGATTATAATACATCCACATGGGCATCCAAATATATCAAAATATATCAAGAATCACTTCCAGCCAATTTTCAAAATTTCCCCAAACTTTGTATTACCTTTAAAAGAGAGATAGAGAGAAGAGAAGAGGAAATAAAAGAAAAATAGCTAAAGAAAAAATACAAAGTAGAGATTAAGACAAGAAAAAGGAGAAGAATTGGAGTAGGGAAGGAGAGTAATTAGTGAAGCCTTTCAGGAAACAGAAATGTAAGAACAAGAAAAAGTCAGGTGGGGGAGAGGGAAAAAGATGGAGATAGAGAGGGAGAGAGAGAGAGAGGGAGAGAGAGAGAGAAACAGAGATGATGGATAGAGGTAATATAGCAAATTACAGACAGGTAGAGAGAGATCCATTAGAGGCACTTCATCCCATCAAAGCACAAGCGCGACCTAATCTTCCTCTTCCAATGCCATTATCATTCATGTGACATATCTACATTGAACTGAAGGCGACCGACCGGTAGATAGCAATTATCTCTTTTCTATTTACGTTCCTACTCTAGGCACTCTGGGCAGTGTTCTGTAATGTCATGATAAGACCATGGGGCCGTGGTATTAAGACGACAAGTCATTCATTCCTTTTGTCTTCCCAGTCACATGATATAATAATAAATACTAGTAAAACAAACAGTAAACTGCATTTAAATTGTATACATCTGCCTCACGATTTTGTTAATGTTATTTTATCAAGTGTAATTTTTTAAAACTTTTTTTGGGTGTGGGGAGAGGGGGGGGGGGGGGGGGGCTAAGCTTTTGATTTTATGAGTACTTACTGACATTCACCATGTATGCCTGCATCCATGTACATGTATATGTATGTATACATATACTGTCTGGATAATTAGTCAGAAGTAGTATCTAACACTGCCAGTTTTTTTTTACTGTAGATGTGAATAAGGAAATACATGTATGTCCTCGCATCAGATTGCTTGCAAAACTGGTAACATTTTAGAGTGTATTCGGGATCTGCATAGAGTGGTGAAGTGTGACGTCATCAAAAATTTATTTTTGGAATTCCTCATTTTTGTCTTCATTTTCTGAAACAGCATCAAAAATAAAGTCCAAATTTCGAAAACTAATTAAATATGTAAGTATTGGCTGAGATACATGTATGACCATATGAATAAATAGATTTCCTATATGAACTCGGTATTATATTGCTCAGGTTCATAACATTACGAGCCAGAACAATATAACTCTTAGAGTTCCAATGGGAAATCCATTTATTCAGATGGTCATATCTCAGCTAATACTTACCATATTCAATTGGTTTTCCACATTTTGGACATTATTTTTGATGCTCTTTCGAAAAATGAAGAAAAAATTGAGAAATTCCCAAAAATAGATTTGTATGATGTCACAGCTTCGGTACTCTATACAATTACATTTTAAAACAAAACAACGGCTTTTAATAGTACATTGAATTAACTTTGACCATTTCATGTTGTGGTCATACGAACCTGCAGTCTTGGTCTTGTATCGGCAGTAGGTGCAGAAAACTGACAGATAATTGGCTTCTTTCCTTTCACATCTAAGAAAGACAAACAAAAGAAATCAATTGTTAGAAAATAGAAAAATGAAGTACCCTGTATACCCTTTAAAGATAAAGTTGAGTCCAGGTCATGCGATTACATTGTGAAAGAAACGGTGTGGAATTGATCAGAAAAAAAGTTGATCGTGTAGCCTACATGTATAAGCATTGGTGCGTACTGCAAGGTTCTGGAATCACCAAAACGATAAGAAATTTGACCCAGAGGTAAAGGTAACAAGCACTGTACACAGAAAAATGTATGTGGGACTACACAAACATGTGGCATAAAAACGAGGCCCACATTTTTAAGCTGTTACATGTCATATTTAGAATATGAAGGCATTTGAAGAGCCATGGCTTTTTCAGGGAACATGTTCTTCCACACTTGCATAATAACAATGAAAACGCTCACAAATTATTTTTCACCTCTCCCCAGAACTCAACCTTCTTTTTAAGGCTCGATCAAATGTGACATTGTAATCCGCTGCAAAAATACTCCCAACAGAGCATTTTTTTTGTTCTGAATGTGTGAATGAATAAATATGTGAATGGCAACTTCGAGCAACAAATGTCTCGTATTTACTTACTCAGCTCTGGATTAAATGTGGCGCGTATGACACTTTACATCCTATTTAAAAAAGAAAAATGTCACTGTACTGCCTCTGTACATACACGACACATACAGAGACTCAATTAAAAAATACCCCCAACAGAGCATTTTTTTTCAGAGTGTGAATGAATATGTGAATGGCAACTGCGAGCAACAAAGGTCTCGTATTTACTTGGTGGGCCCCAAGATTAAATGTGGCGCGTATGACACTTTACATCATCATTTAAAAAAAAGAAAATGTCACTGCACTGTAAGGCTGCGACGGGTAGTTGAATGCTCGAGTACCCGCACGGTTGACAACTACTCGGGTACGATTTCTTGTACCCGAATATTCGGCCGCAAAAAAAATAAATAAAAAATGTCCAGGCCCACGCTTACCCGTGCCAGGGAGAGCGGCGTCCGTTGGCATGGTACCGTCGGTAAAAATGTTTCCCATCTCAAGCACTGTCAAACTCACCTTTCAGAAACTGGGACCAAATGTCCAGATTTCTGTTTGGACTTGGAGGAAAATGGATTATTCTGACATCTTTGGTTTTTAAAACAGCATTGTTTACTGTTATTATTCTTATTAAATCGGCGCCTTCAACTGCAACTCAAAGTAAAGTTGCATGCGTTTTCAGCGAGGGACCTGAGAAACTGCCGAGTGGTATGGTAGTGGCAAAAAAATAAAAAAAATAAAAAATAAAAAAATAATTTTTTTTTTTTTAAATTAAAAAAAATTCAAAAAATTCAAAAAAATTCAAAAAAATTCAAATTTTTAAAAAAAAATTATAAAAAAACATGGCGTCCGATTATTCGAGTATTCGCCTGTGAGCCTGGGAGTGTACTCGGGTACCTCATTACACTGTTGTGCACAGCCCTACTGCACTGCCACTGTACACACACAACACACAGAGACTCAATCAAAAAATACTCCCAACAGAGCATTTTTTTTCCGAGTGTGAATGAATAATGGCAACTGTGAGCAACAAAGGTCTCGTATTTACTCGCTTAGCCCAGGATTAAATGTGGCACGTATGTCACTTTACATCATCATTTAAAAACAAAAATATGTCACTGTACTGCCACTGTACACACACGACACACAGAGACTCAATCAAAAATTACCCCCTACAGAGCGTTTTTTTCCGAGTGTGAATGAATAATGGCAACTGCGAGCAACACAAGTCTCGTATTTATTCGCTGGGCTCTGGATTAAATGTGGCGCATATAACACTTTAAATCATCATTTTTTTTAAAAGAATGTCACTGTACTGCCACTGTAAACACACGACACATACATGTACAGAGACTCAATTAAAAAATACCCCCAACAGAGCATTTTTTTTCCGAGTGTGAATGAATATGTGAATGGCAACTGCAAGTAACAAAAGTCTAGTATTTACTCGCTCAACTCTGGATTAAATGTGGCGCATATGACACTTTACATCATCATTTTAAAAAAAAGAATGTCACTGTATTGCCACTGTACCCATATGACACACAGAGACTCAAATCATACTACAAACATACAACTTTTTTCTGTTTAGCATTCAATAAAATTGTAGGCCTACTACTACCTACAAGTCTCTTGTATACTAGATTTAATATCATTTGTTCATAATAGTGTGCAGGATATATTTCCCCACTCCATGGATATGTACATGCACATGAATAATTGTGAACCTGTACTTGTGTGATTATTACATTTTAAAAACCGTGCAAAACAGTTTAGCATATGACATTTTGACTGAAGTACATTGTGGGTTGCACAAAGGAGATTGGAAAGCAGCATGTTAAATGTACCGTATTTGCCGGCGATAAGGCTGCACCCCCGATTTTGACATTTTTTTTTACTTAAAAAAAGTTATTTCAGCTTTCTCTTGTGTATTGCGCCTTAGATTTGCTGAGATGATTCAGGTTGCTTTAGCTATGGCAAAAACTTAAATCTAGATCTACCAGTAGAGTTTGGTAGTTAAGTTATGAATTTTATTTACAAGATTGACAAAACTTTGCCCTTCATTTAAAAAATATAACACAAAATTGTCGGTAAGACGTGTGTTATTCTAGACAGTTATTCTAGAAATGTCCATCACCTTTCATTGTTGTCCCATATGTACAAATTTGTGCTGTTTTTCATAACTTGTAATTTTTTTATTTTTTTTTACTCTTTCGCCACAAAGGCCGCACCCTGACTTTTTGATATTTTCTCTTCCAAAAATACTGCTGCCTTTACGCCGGCAAATACGGCATATACATGTAGTCTCGTGATTTTCTCCTCGTATCAAATTGGAATGAAAAGTTTTTGAGGGCTTCCAAAAAAGTCACCCAATAGGGAATAATAATCATGAATAAAACGTTATAAATACTCCCATTCCATTATCCAAAAGCTCTTTTCATATTTTCAACGACATAATTCTCCCATGGAGGGCGATTCTGAGAAAAGGCACTAAAGGGGGTGTGTACATTGAATTGCATTCTCTATTCTTATACACATGGATCAGTGAGCACATTCTAACATTTTTAGGGCGATGGTTTTGTAGTGGACTTTTTACTTAACCTTTTGTACATCATCACTGCCTCATCGCCTCACCACCCTCCTTTGACTTTGAAGGGCAGAAATAGTTTTGCAATGGCAATTTTTTTTCTCTTTTTGTCTGAGTGGGGCTTTATAAAGGAAATTTTGGAGTGTTATTTCAAGTGCAGTCATCATTTAGATTGGAATTTTTAAAACTTCACCAATACAGTAAAAATCCACAATTAATTACTATACAAAATATTGGCTGATTTCTGGGACACAGTAGCAAACTGTACTATGACGTTGAGGGGCATTGTTCAAGCACAAGATCACTGAGAAGCTATAGTTAGTTATATATACATGTATTTTTATAAAGCCATCTGTACTAGTTTACAGGAGGGATTAGACCACCCTGCAAGGTCACTGATAGGTGGTTATCTCATTAAATCAGCTCTCAAGTAACATAAGAAAAAGAGGATCATGGGGGACCAATGGTCACTGATTAGGTATTGTTTGCTACATGTATATAATGTAGAGGGCTCAAGTAGCTATAAGTAGTGCAATGAGGCTTTAAAGCGTATCTGCCATGGTTTACAGGAGGGATTAGACTGCCCTGCAAGGTCACTGGACAGGTGGTTATCTCATCAACTCAGCTTTGAGTTAACATAAGAAAAAGAGGATCATGGGGGACCAATGGTCACCGATTAGGCATTGATTGTTATATAGAGGGCGCAAGTAGCTACAAGTAGTGCAGTGGGCCTTTAAAGGAAGATGGTGGTCAGACTCAGTGGAAACACCCTTTAGTGGATGGACAAGTCTCACATGAGAGCCCTCTACTATGTTTTTTTAACAGTGACCCCAAAATTTGGTTTAATATCAGCTATTTTAGAGCTTCCTAGACGTACATGTACATTGTAAATCGCTCACTACTCCTATAATAATCCCATGTACATGTATCCTTTCTGATGCAAGCCAAAGCCTCTTTGTAATTTCAACGTTGCTACCTCGTTGCCACAAATTCAATTGAGTACATCTGACAGTTTCATGAGCCCGATAGATGATGCTAAATCAGTGAAGACATGTTGGGTTCTCTCCAGTTAGTTACAGTGGCTTTTGGCAGGGTACAACATTCAAACAGCCTAGACACTACACATATACATGTAGGTATACTGTAGGCAACTACAAATGTAACTGCTCACTGGCCTTGTTGAGATACGAAGTGGTAAGCTTCAGCATTTTTTCTCTCACAAAAGCCCTGTCCTCATCAGGCCGCATTGGAAAATAACCTGCTATTTGAACTAGCTCAATCTCAAATTAGCCAGACGAATTTGCGTCTTCATCAGCCCGCAGTTGCTACACATGTATAAGCTGGTTATTGTATCGATAAAATATCTCAAGAACCCATGGTCTTGTTTCCAAAATAGCCCACTATTTGGGAAATAGCGGGCTAATTTGCGCCCGTCCGAGCTAGTTCGTGATGAACGTATCGAGCTGGTGGAGACTCAAATTCGAGCTTCGGGAAAATATCCAGTCTGAAAATAGCGGGTTATTTTGCAACTTCGGTCTGATGAAGACAGGCCTAGACCCCTGTTACACATGCGTCGGCTTTTAAAGCGGGCCCCAGAGGCGGCCTCACACCTGCAATTTGAAGCCGCCTCGAGATCATCAAACCCCTGTTACACATGATCTCGGGCTCGCAATTTTGCGTCTACACATAGGCCGGCCTCACATCGCCTTTTCACGAGCTGATGAATAACATAAGGAAAGACGGAAAGAGAAAGTGATAGAATGATAAAAACAAAGAATAACATAAGAAAAGACAGAAAAAAAGAGTGATATAATGACAAAAACAATGAATAACATAAGTGAAGATGAAAGAAGGAAGAAACAAAGAATAACATAAGGAAAGACAGAAAGAAAAAGTGATAGAATGATAAAAACAAAGAATAACATAAGGAAAGACAGAAAAAGAGAGTGATAGAATGATAAAAACAAAGAATAACATAAGAGAAGATGAAAAGAAGGAAGAAACAAAAAATAACATATGGAAAGACAGAAAGAGAAAGTGTGATAAAAACAAAGAATAACATAAGAGAAGATGAAAGAAGGAAGAAACAAAGAATAACATAAGGAAAGACAGAAAGAGAAGGTTATAGAAGGAAGAAACAAAGAATAACATAAGGAAAGACTGAAAGAAAAGGTTATAGAAGGAAGAAACAAAGAACAACATAAGGAAAGACAGAAAGAGAAAGCGATAGAATGATAAAAACAAAGAATAACATAAGGAAAGACAGAAAGAGAAAGCGATAGAATGATAAAAACAAAGAATAACATAAGGAAAGACAGAAAGAGAAAAGGATAGAATGATAAAAACAAAGAATAACATAAGGAAAGACAGAAAGAGAAAAGGATAGAATGATAAAAACATTTCACATAAGGAAAGACAGAAAGAGAAAGTGATAGAATGATAAAAACAAAGAATAACATAAGGAAAGACAGAAAGGGGGAGTGATAGAATGATAAAAACAAAGTATTACATAAGGAAAGACAGAAAGAGAAGGTTATAGAAAGAAGAAACAAAGAATAACATAAGGAAAGACAGAAAGAGGGAGTGATAGAATGATAAAAACAAAGAATAACATAAGGAAAGACAGAAAGAGAGAGTGATAGAATGATAAAAACAAAGAATAACATAAGAGAAGGTGGCAAGCGCGCCCGATGTATTATGTTGATAATGATGACAGGTTACGTCACTTCCGCCTATAAGCCGGCCCCGAGTCCACTTTGGTGTTACACATACCGATTGCGGGACTGAGGCCGGCCTCAAACCACATCCAGAGGTGGACTGAGTCCACCTGTCCTCAGTCCGGCTTTTCGAAAAAAGTTGGTGTTACACATACGTCGAGCCGACTCCGGGGCCGGCCTCAGTCCACTTTCAGACGTATGTGTAACAGGGGTCCTAGAGACGTTTTAGAGTGTAGAACCCTTCACATAAATTTTGTATCCTATTACAGAGAGCTCAATAAATATGCACAGTTGCCAACTTGCCATTCATTTACATGTACAAGTGAGTAAAAAAAAACCTGCCAGTTTACCCCTTCATCTGAACAAGATTTTCTGTATACAGCTAGCCTAGATACAGGTGCCTGCGCAGAATATGTATCTGACAATTAAAGATGAAGTTGAGTTCTGGTCATGCGATTGTATTGTGAAAGAAACGGTGTGGAATCGAACAGAAAAGGTTGATCATCTAGCATATAAGAATTTGCGTGTATTGCAAGGCTCTGGAATCATCAAAATCATAAGAAATTTGGCCAAGTCTTGGTAAAGTTACAAACACTGTACACAGAAAGATGTATATGGGACTACACAAACACGTGGCGTAAAAATCCCACCCCCCCCCCCTTGAGTTTTATGATGTTAAATGACATATTTAGAATATGAAGGCATTTGAAGAGCCATGCTTTTCATGGAACATGTCTTATCTGATGTTCTTCCACACTTGCATAATAAGAATGATAACGCTCACAAATTATTGTTCACCTCTTCACAGAACTCAACCTCTCTTTAATACAGTCACATTGAACTCTGTAATCTGTATGATATCCATATCATGGAAAAATGAAATGACAACCAATGTCATAAAAGTGCCCAAGGCTGCTACCCCAACTGAACAAAAATCCTATTCTTTCTCCAAAAAAATTCCATTTTAAAATAAAAATCCTATTTTTGATTGATTAGTACTTTCTTTTTGTTAGACTGTCTTCGTCGATATTCTGAAGAATCATGCATGAGTACATTTTACAAAATATGAATATTCACGAGTTCATCATAAATGATCGTTCAATGAACCAATGAGCGGCATGTAAGTGTAGCATTGGTTGAATATGCATGATTTCTTCATGACTGGTGTGTATGATGAACCAATGAACATCTCCAAATTGCAGTGGGAGGTTCTTGTATGATACTTTACAGGAGAGAACGGGCAATTTGCCACACACACATTAAATAAACAGGCACATTAATTTTTAGTTTTTAATTAAAAGAATGGAAAATTATATTTTTTGAGGAAAAAAAAATTGTACAACACACAATAAATTTGTACTTGTTGGCAGCTCTGCCAAAGTATTAGCAGAAATGGCATCAGACCATTATGCCAGTTTTTTAAAAAAAGTTTCAAGCCCAGAACACAGGTTTGTTTGATACTTACATTGCATATGCCAGCTTCTCCATATGGCATGGTTGACTCTTACTCTCTCCTGCCAACTCCATTTTGGATGACGCAAGGGGCGGGGCTTCGGGGAGAACAGTTGAATACCTTGACCGCTAACTTCATTTCTGAAATTTAAATCAAAACAAAATTAAAAACATCATGAATATTTCGCTTTCCTTATTTATGATATGAACAATAGAAATTTGTTCCTTTTCAAAATTGCAATCATTTCTCTTTAATACACTTACCGAGATATTTTTATCGTCATTTTTTCGGAATATCAATCTAGAATTCAACTACTAGTTACACCATACCCAAATGTTAATGAACATCTTTCATTCTCTCACACAGAAAAACAAAATTGGACTTATTACAAGTCCTATTACGGTCACCTATGCAAACTAATATGATTTTGATGTGTGTTTGTCTATCAATTCTCGCTACCGCAACTACAGTACTTGGCCACCCACCTGAATAACAAATTTGGGTGTAGTGTGGGGATATGCGGAATTATCCCATTGTGTGCTTTCAAAGGAAAAATCAAACCCGAAAATTCCTATTGCAGACCTAGGAATTGTATTCAACTGCCCTCTAGAGGGCTTTGTAAGGCGCCTGAGTCGAGGTTGGCTTTGAAAGAGGCCCTGCGCTGTTAATGTGTTTAATTGGACAAATTATTGTCAGGTTAATTTAGGCTTGGCTCAAATCACGGCGCATGGAGTCTCTATGTGCGGTCAGTGGTGCATGCATGGAGGTCAGGGCTGTGCATAACCGTGTAATGAAGTACTCGAGTACACTCCCAGGCTTACAGACGAATACTCGGCGGCCATTTTTTTAATTTGCTTAAATTAATTTTTTTAATTAATTTTTTTTTTAAATATAATTTTTTTATTATTTATTATTAATTTTTTGCCGACGTTGTATGAAGCACCTGCTACGAAAACCCACGCTGTTTTATTGCGAGTTGCAATTGAAAGTGCCGATTTGTGCTTGTGAACTTCTCACAAATAATAGTAACAATGTTGTTATTTAAAACTAAAGATGACAGACAAATTATCCTCCAAAAGTTCTAACAGAAATCTGGACATTGGCGGCTAGTTTGGTCCTACATGTAGTTTCTGAGTGGTGAGTTGACAGTGACACCCAGTGTATGGGCACGGGTGAGCTTCGGCCGGCCAGCACAGTGCCAGGTGGAGAAAAAAAAATCGGCATAAAAAAATGGTGGCCGTGTACTCGCACTGTTGACAACTACTCGAGTACGATTTTTCGTACTTGAGTAGTTGTCAACAGTGTGAGTACTCAAGTATTTGAGTACTCGTCGCAGCCCTAATAGAGGTTTATGATGGCTCTCCCATTGGTGCTGTACATTTAGCAGAGGAAGAAGGGGTGCATATCATCTACATGTATAATGAATATACAGTGTACATGTTCATGTATCATGCAAAATAATATGATTTAGATGTGTGTTTGTCTATCAATTCTCGCTACCGCAACTACAGTATTTAGCCATAGAGGATAACTCTGGCAATGGGTATATTTGGCTAAGGCACTTCCTGTTCTCATACAACTACAATGGGTCAAGAACTGGAAAGTCCGATAGAAATTATGGTTTTGTAACCAATTAAAAATACCCGGTAAGTAACAGATTATGATTGTGTCTACATACATGTAGATCTCATTAGATCACTGAGGGAGTTCATGAAACCTAAACAATAGTTGAGTAAAATAAAACTTGAGTTTGATGGTAATCCGTCCATCTGTTCTAATGATAATGTGATCATAAGCTATTTTTGCATGCATGATAAGCCCTGAGACATTTGACCTTGTAATAATAATAATAATAATACATATGATTTATAAGGCGCCAAATCCACTTGACAGTCAAATGCTCAAGGCGCAGCTTGTGCAAAAGATGAAATACATACATTTTACATTTATACAAAGTGCGATAGGAAAGGTACAGACATGAAAGGTAATGGTAATCAATTATAAGCTAAATTAAACAGATATTTCTTAAGATTATTTTTTAACACCTCAGCAGAACTGCTATTCTTAACCCATTGAGGGAGAGTATTCCATAACGAAGGCCCAGCATGAGCGAAGGTTCGTTCCCCCCACTTTGTTTTAACCCTAGGAGTAACAAGTAAGCCAGAGTTTTGAGAACGTAGCTGTTTTGTGACCCCAAAATCTTCTCAGTTCATTGGCTCTGCAAGATACATACATGTACATGTCTTGAGTTTGATGGTAATCCGTCAAGCGGTTCTAATGATAATGTCATCAAGAGCTATTTTTGTATATATAATGAGCCGTGACCTTTGACCGAGTTACTCCAAAATCTACTCAGATTGTCTCCCTATGATGATACATCACTAATGTTCAAGCCTCATATCTCTAGTTGTTCTTGAGATATCGCGATAACGAGACCAATACCTGGAATTTCATGAGTTGACCTCCGTGACCTCTGTGGATGGAGGCACAAAGTGGTACTAAAGTACAGGGCTTAACCAGGGCTTCTGACTTACTTAAAAATATTGAAAATTTGGGAGTTTTATAGACTTAGATTTAAGACATCCCAAGTGCTTAGCCCCAGCCCGATTGACTGATTTCAGTGCTTTAATTGTATGAGCAGAAAAAAAGAGTCCACAATAAAATGTCTTGAAAAGTTGGTGACATACCGTACCAATAAAATACCAATGAATGAAGTCCACTAACTTTAAAGCTGGAATCTAAGGCATTTAGCAAGGCCATGGATTAGCATCAAATATTAAAATCATTCAAAGATTAAGCAAAATAGCATGGTATTCATACCGGAAAGTCTTTTGTCAATGGACTCAAAGGATTTAATTGAACACTGTAAATAAAAGTAAATTACTTTTTAACTAATAAAAATTTCAAATGATTGAAAAGATCATAATCATACAAACTATACTAGTTTGGAAATTAAAAAAATTGGAAACTTCTGGACACCAAATTTTCAGAGCAGAATTCTTTATGTATTCTGTTTGCATTCGCGCCTGCAGTAGAATTAAATACAATACGTAGTTCTTGTAAAACGTGAATAGAAACATGACAATTTACGGGTTGTCCGGTATTAAGTATCATGCATAAAGCAAGCCTATAGTCTTGGTCTTCGTCGCAGAACTCTCTCCCCCTGTACCAGGGATGTAAAGTTCAGAGCCTACATGTACATGTACACAGTCTTAGTACGCATCCAATTGAGTATTGCTCGGAGGCATGGAACCCACACAGTGTCACGGTCACAAAAATGCTCGAGCAAGTACAAAGAACAGTGGCTCACTTTGTGAAATGTGACTACAGGAACACCACATCACCCTAAGCTCATTGTATCAGAACTAGAGTGGGACATGCTCCACACACGTCGAATCCTTAACCAATGCACCCTTCTCTACAAGATTCTTCACCGTTGTGTCTTCATACCCAAACTAACTATTGTCATCCCTGCTACATACAGTACATGTACATGTACTTCGGAAGACACGACCACAACCCGAAGTATGACATTCCTGATGCAACTATTGACTCCTTCAAGTTTTCCTACTATCCAAGAACAATAAGGATGTGGAACCATCTGAAGGAATAACCCACTTCAAGGAAGCTGCTTTACCGTTCATCAGAATAATGCAGCTTCCTGTTGGATCTCACATGGTATAAGTTTACTAGCATGGTTTTTACTTGCACTGTACTTGGCATATTTTACTGTAAATTGACAGGTGATCTGTACTGCAACTAAGGAAGAAGACCCCCCCCCCCCCTCCTTCTGATTTTCTGGGTATGGGGTAACTCCAGGAAGCTCCAACACCGGCGCCATAGGCGTCGGAGCTTCAGTTGGCAGATCCTGGGGTTAGTAAAACAGCCGATTAAGCGATATTATCATTAAATCTGCAAAGGGAGTACTAACAATTTTGACTTCGTAGGTTGCACGACTCCTCAGGGCATAACACCAATCACTTGAATTTATAATTTGAAGAAGTCTTCGATGGGAAAAAAAGGGTATTCGGTTTCCTACACCAACGATTCTTCCATGTTGCAGCGTCGATTCAAAAGAGAAGATACGCATGCGTGGCAGTGGCGCAGAAAATATGAATATTCATGCTATAGAGCGCCGATCGCTCGAAATCGCTGAATAAGCACGAAGTTGCGAAGGACCGAAGGACCCCCCCCCCCAATTCCGGATTACACCGCACATCGTGGTAGGGGTATCGTAGGATACCAAATCAGCGTGCGATACAGTACTAGCTTAAAAATCAATGAAGATCTCCTATATTATGATCATTTTCTAGGTAAACTTCTTGTAAATTTATAAGAATATTGATGAGTTTAGTATCAGCTTGTTAAAAAAAAAAGAGTGTTCTACAAGAAAATTACAATTATTTTGTATGGTCTGTTTTTGTTTTTGTTTTTTTTCCTCTACGAAATGTCAAAGTTGGGGGTGCGGCCTATGCGGCGCTGCGGCCTCATCGCCGCCAACGATAATATCGCCTAATTGGCTGTTTTACTAACCCCAGGATCCGCCAACTGAAGCTCTGGCGCCGGTGTTGGAGCTTCCTGAAGTTAGGTATGGGGAAGTTAGAGTGACTGTAAACTCAGATCATCATTTATTTTATATAAGTAATTCACATTATGACGATGATGATCATTACTTATTACGGTCGCTAACTTCACGCATCCCTTCGTCGGTACAGTATGCAATTGTATTATAATTGTGCAGCAGTTTGCCGCGAAACCTGTGAGAAATCGTATATAATGTCATTGTTTTTAGGAAAAAAACTCCTAAAAAGTTTAGAAAATTGACAAGGAAGGTGTTTGTTAGGTGTAAGAAAACTTTTAAAATTATTTGAACAATTGATAAAGACTTTGTCTTTGTTAATTATCGGTAGTCTAGGTCCTATGTTTTAGTAGAGTATCTCCATGCCGGAGTTAGAAATAGTAGTTACATGTCAAAATATAAACATCTGCAAGAATCTTCCGTATTGAAGGAGGCAGATTATCCATAAGAAGAAGATCAAACATACAAAGTCAAAGATTGAAAGAAGAAAAAGTCTGGATACGAAAGTACATTAGCGCATAGCGCCCCCTTCTGTTACCCACTTTTGTCTTTAACAAAGAAGTACATAAATATCCAAACTTACATTGTTTGACCAAACTGTAAGGTCATCGAATCGAACAAGTCGATAATGGATTCCTGGCTGTTGGATCTTGAGGCCAGTCTCGACCCGGGAGTAGAACCGCATCGCGAACCAGGCAAGGAGCTCGGGGCAGATCGGGGAGAGTCACGGAAACTACTGGCAGAGAACTCACTGAAGCTGCCACTACTCGACTGTCTCGTACCGGTGCTTTTGCCCGGACTGTGCACTTGCAGGTCCGAATTGTCGGCGTTGTCATTGCCATTTTCTGTCCTTGGCAGTGATTTTTCTAGACAATTCTCGATCTCATCCATTTTGGTCATTTTGTCGATAGGACCTCCATCTCGTTTCGTCATGATGGTTCAATTTTGATGATAATTTCTACGAAATTGTGCAAATGCACATGCAGGATGGTTTTGTCTACTCCGTGGTCCGCCATGAATTATACCATATTACGTCAAAGGCAAGTTCAATATAGCAAGACGGGTGGAGATGTTTAAATTAAAAAGCTATTAAATGTATCTCTAAAATAAATGCACTAAAATATGTATGGGTTTAATGTTTTTATTATGTTCTAAATATTTTAAGAATTTAGTTCGTTTTATTAACCATTTTAAGTGAATTTTTAATTTGGTGTTCTTTTTATTCTACCCATTATATATAATGGAATAGACCACCATATCGATCGACATTACATACAGTCCATTTCACAAGATATTATAAATGGTCCGGTGTCATCAAAGAGATACATGCAAGGTGTGATGTACCTGTTGTATTCATTCCTGTTTCGATTGTTAGACATCAGTATGATTAATGTTACAATCAACCAGTGAGAGTGTATCTCCTGTAAACAAATATATGCATGTACCTACCACTAATTCGCAATCAATAGTCCGATAATGATACAAATATCTGCAGGGGCGGCGGAGTTTTTTTTCTTCTTCTTCTCTTATCCTCAAGCCAGGTTTTTATTTCGATAATTTCAATACATAATTTACATCATTTACATCATTTACTCGATGATTGGGTGAAACCTAACATAGGCTAAGAATTAAAGTATATTCAACAATTCTTCCAGCTTAGTATTATTTTTTTTCTATGCTAACATATTCATGGGTATTCATGTCCTTATTTACAACCAATATCTTTTGGTTTATTTGTATTTTTACTTGGGATGGGTTTAATATAAAATTACATATCGGTTCCAAAACAAAATCACATTCTTGCAATATAACCAGGCGCGTACACAGGGGTGTGTGTGTGTGGGGGGGGGGGGGGGGTGGTGAACCTCCCGTTTGTTATTTGTTTATGTGTGTATTTTGATTTATTTGATTTAAATGAAAATACATCCTCCCAAACAAATTCATAAATCCAGAATGAACAATTTTGGTTCTCTTGACTTCTTACTTATTAACAAGCAATAGTATAATCTTTCACTATCTTAACAAAGACCGTCATTTACTTTATCCCCGGCTGATTCTATTTCTATAAAATTCGAAATATTAAATTCATGTTCAAATTTATTGACATAACAATCTATCTAACCAAAACTGCGGAAAACTTTATATGCTTTCTTTAATGTTGTATATTCAAAATCAAATAAGAGCTGTTGTGCGTTTACTTTTGTATTGATTAATGTAGAGTCATTCCAAATACCTTTTGTAATCAAATTATGAATTTTCAATAAACCGGCATCTTGCCCTTCCCGATAAAACTATATTTTTGTAATGTTAGGCCTACTATTTTTCCAAATAATTTCATTTGGAATATTTATTACTCATGGTATAACTTTAAACATAATTATCAATGATTCTTAGTTCTGACTAAGTACAAGAACTAGATCTACATAACTTTTGGCAAATTATGTTTAGAGCATAATATATTCATATATATCTTTTATATTACAATTGAAATGTAATCAAAGTGGCAAACCCCCTATTTTATCGGACCGTAAATATTTTTACAATTATAGAACCATTATCATTAAAGATACGAGTTATCCATGCCAAACGAAGTGAAGAATTTTTTACTAGCGATATCAATCATATTCAATCCATCATTTTCAATATCATTTATAACTATATACATTACGTTTAATTGTTTTTTGTTGTTGGAATTCCATTGTGTGGGGGCACATGCCTCTGGGCAACAGCGATGAACTTCCGGCTTGTGTGCAACCTGACCCACTTGCTGCTCCCTTATCTCTTGCATGTGTTTTTGCATTCTTATTATGTACTTGTCTCTCGCCATTCATTGTATTGTATTTGTTTTGTTTTTGTTTTTTTATAAATGGGCGAATAAATAATAATAATTTTTAAAATTCCATTGAATAGACTACTGTTTTGTTTCTTATAGTTAGGGGCGGCGGAGGTGCACTTTCTTGCATTTATAGGTTTAGTAACATTTGAGTTTCCATATAAATTATGCTGTTCGAGATAAACACCGTATAAGCAGAGCTCCTATAAAACGCGTGTGAAATAGCGCAGAGGACAAGTGGGCAGAGAGGACTTAGATATCATGAGACAAGAAGTTAGTATATATAGGCTGTTTAAAATAATTAAAAGTTATCCTGTGGATTGACAGAAGGTTCTTTGAAAGCCTATACATGTATCATTTTAAACAATGAAGTACTAAATCACACAAGGCACAATTTAACTTTTAAAAGGAAACCATAGAAGCACATGCATAATTATGGCCTGACCCTCGTGGTTCCTAACTTGGAACAAGGCGATTTTGACAATGCTTTTTAAAGACCCTGGTGCTCATTCACCCGTGGCAGAAATATTGTGAAAAGGGTATCATTAAGTCTTCATCATGAAAACCGTTTCAAAGTCATATTGGTTACGAATTCGTAATTAAGAGCTATATGAAAGTTGGGTATACTTTTTTATACGCACTGTTTAATATATACATTCTTCCATTTTGTTTAAAGGTCTAGCTCTTTGTGTTTATAGTAGGTTTGTACATATACTACAAAGATATTAACTCAATGATGCAAAACAGATATAACACTTATATACTGATTCAGAGGAAATCTAAAACTCTACATTTTGTAAAGCTAAATAAATGATAACAAGGAGGAGGGAATCACTAATTTCAGTATTCCTTTTAATTTTGTCTTGATATTTCTTCAAGTCCTTGAAAATTTCCCGGACAAAGCCCACATTCTCTGGTATTTTTTCTTCTGAACTTCGGGAAAAGTGTTAGCACTGGTCGAAATAGATTTGTGTGAATGTGGATGTGAGATGGCGCCATTCATGTGCATCCATAAAGCTAATAGCTCTATGGATAGTGTGTATCGTAGAGATCGTTTGCATGATTGCATCCGTTATTTTTTTAACCCTAGCAAGGGCCCTAAGGCGGGCCCATGGTTGCTCCTCTGACCGTAATCAAAATGTCTAAAATTCCTGAACTTCCGGGGGCTCCGCCCCCTGGACCCCACCAGGGCCCTAAGGCGGGCCCCTGGATGCTCAACTGACCGTAATTAAATGCCTAAAAAACCTGAGCTTCCGGGGGCTCTGCCAACTGGACCCTACCAAGGGCCCTAAGGCAGCTCCTGGATGCTCATCTGAGCGTAATTTAATGCTTAAACCCCCTTATATTCTAGGGGCTACGCCCCCTTCTACCCCACTCCAATTAGTGACGTGCATGCCATTGTCACAAATAAGGTATCAAAATTATGCTCATCCGACCGTAATTAAATGCCTAAAACCCCTATGTTTCCGGAGGCTCTGCCCCTGGAACCCTTTAGGGGGCCCTAAGCCTGGCCCCTGGATGCTCATCTGACCGTTATTAAATGCCTTAAATCCCTGAGCTTCATGGGGCTACTCCTCTTGACCCCCGCCGGGTCTTTGCCCCTGGACCCTATATACACCAACACAGATACACAAACTTCGTTATGACAATATCCTAGCTCACACACATAAAAGAACTGATGTACTGTGAATAAATATTGTATCGAAATACCACTACGTCCTTGATATCCTATTTTAAGGATTCTGATGAAACGCCTCATCGATACATTATAACATAGTTATGCCTAATGTGTCACATGAGTTTACATTTGAGCGTATATAACCTCTTTGATGAATATAACCTGCATAGTTATGAACAGGCCTATAACCATCTATTGAGCGGTAAGGACCTAATCTCAAATGAAAAAGAAAGAAACAGACAAACAACAGATCCTTCCTCATCCTGATTGTTATGTAGATTCCTCATTAAATCAGATTTTAAGAGAATCAAATACTAAAATAAGAAATAGGCACTATTATAGGCTGGTCAATTTGCAAAATACCACCTTACTTTATAGGATCTATAGGAATCAAACATGGTGATGTCCTAAATTGATATGTTACATGTTCTGTATAAACACTCTTTTTAACCAGAATCTCGCTCAACTTTAACTTCATCAAAAACATAATTTATTCTTGTCGTTAAGCCAGATTGAATTTAATTTAATGGAGCTACCGTCAAGAAAAACGACTGCTAATAAAAGTAATTTTCTAAAGTATGGAGACCTTCACCTTAACAATTACTTCTTAAAAATCAATTTCACGGTCATACAATTCTCTATTACTTTTTTAAGTACGTAGAATTTGTAAAGTAATAAAAACACGAATATCAATTGAAAGCGTAATGAACCATATTCCAAAAAATAGCATTTGAAAAAGTTTCGAAAGCATTCATTTCTTTATGATGACGTTTTGATCCATTTCATTCAGAAGTGTGAAAATAAATCATTGAATTGACCAAAAATGCAAACTGTATTTCCACTAAATAAACATTATGAGAAGTGGTTATACGATGTGTATTGTTTGTCTGATTGATTTTATTTCTGCGTTCAAATAACAAATAACAATAACAAGGTTATTCATTTTTACACAAGTACTACATGAATAGCAAAGCATGTCTGATAGAATAACCATAATACAAAGCATACAAACAAGACAGTATAACGGATATAATGTATATATTTTTCATTGGACTAAAGAGATACATTTTAGAACACAGGAGACCGCATGCATCGTGAGCGGTTAGGCTGGAAATGGATGGCGGTCTCATGAAAAAAAGATTTAGCAACAAAGCTCTCTTGGTACTAAAAACCTAGGGTGCAGGTGCGGATGCAGCAGACGACAGTTGAGTAAAAGGAATAATAAATCATGGTTTCAGACAAAGCTATTATACTAATTTAGAGCGTTTGGCACATAATATTATGATTGTATTTTTTTGGTATAAGTGTAGCTTTCAAGGAATAGAGGGTTGAACAAGATTTGATGTTGTCGGGAAAATTATTCCAAATATCCGGACCACAATGTCGAATGGATTCGTGCGTTAGTAATAAGTTTGGGTTAGTTAGATGGACATTTCTAGTATGCGAGTGGGATAGGAATGAACAGAACTATTGAAACTAAACAGGTTATCAAAGGATGGTGGAAGTTGTTCATTAATATACAGGAACATAATA